CATTCTATACTGCAAACTGTATGAAGGTTTGGGCTTGTGTATACTGAGAGAGAATGAATTCTTAAGATGAGGAAAACAAGGCATTTGGGGTAAAAAGGGAATTGTGTTTTCTAATTGCCTTCACTCCTCAGGAAAATAAACATCGTTTGGTTTGATGTTTGACTTCTATCTGGCTGGTGTGTTCCTCAACTCTTCCTACTCCTCTACAAATAATTTATGTCCTGTTGTAAAAAACAAGCTAAGGTACTAAATACAAAGAGATGACTGAGTTGCTCAGCTGTGACAACTCCAAAGGCCCACAGTTCTGAATCCCATTCCCCCCTTCTGAGATGATTAGGTTGCCACTGAACATCAGGAGGTCTGAGTATGTATATTTCTTGTATACATTAGTGTTTAGGTCAGTGTGAGTTAGATTCTGTGACAGCCAGCAGGAGCTGTGTGAATTGGTAGGACTGGATCTGTAAACTGGTGTTAACACTGTGACATATCCTGTCAGGTGTTGTATGTTGCCTGTGTGGTTGTGTGAAGGATGCTGGAGGGAATCATTTTGCTCTTTTATGTTTTGCAATATCTTCATAATTTTAATAACTACACATTTAGCAGCAGAACAAATCTCTGCATGATACTACACTGAAAACTTACTGCTTTCTGCCTTCCAACTTCATTACTTCAGTACAATAGCTTGGAAGCAACCTGTGAAATCTTTCTTCCTTTTTGCTTTCTTACACTCTTGTGTTTCTGAATGCAGCAGAGGCAGAGGATACAGGAAAGAAGTATTTATTTTATGATGATTAAGAGATGAAGTCTTGCTTTTAATTTCTGAAGAATTTTTCTGCCCATAACTGAACCTTCTTAATCTGTATTTGTGGTCTGCTTTGCTTTATGGCATTTTAGCTTTTCATTTGCCTTGATGTAAACAACCTGCATCCTTATCTAAACATGATTTGCCTTGGCTTTAATTTTCTTTTCATAGATTAAAGCAATAAAACTACCTAGTATCTCAAGCTTGACGGAGATCACTTTAAAAGTCACTTCAAAGAGGAGAGGGTCCTTTATCCCTAGATCACTAGTAGTTCAATCCAGAACAAAATTGCAGTTTTTTCACTCCTAACTGCATATGAAACTTGTGAGTCTTAAGCAGCAGGAAGAAGAAGGGATGCCCTGGAAGAAAAATGTTTGTAAAGAACTAAAATACTTTCGGCAAACTTCTTCAACTTAATGGACAAGTCATAAACTTTCAGGCAGAAACAGTGGGGTTTACTCTTATGCTATCAGATTTTCCTCAGCTCTTTCTTTGGGAGAGAGGTTGGGGCTCCACATCTTACAGACCTGTAGTTACTGTCTTGCTCTTTAGAGGACTTGGCTTACAGCACTGGGGTTTTGATGTGTTCTATTGCTTGTCAATGATACCAGTTTTGAAGATGAGTGAAATTTCATAGCATTTCCCTGTACCACATCTCCTTGCTGATTCTAGGTGGTTTTCAAGGGAAAGCTTCCTGCTGTGTATTGTAAAGTTTTGGTGTTCTTAATATGCAAAGTATTGTAGGAAAAAGTGAAGTTGGCTACATAAAATGCTATAAAATGTCTCTGAGGAAGCAAAATAAGAATCTTGCTTTTGGTTTAACATCTTTTTCAGCTCTAGTAGCTCTAGGTTTTAAGAGGAGCAAGAGCTCTATACAAGGTGGGAGCCGCATGGCTTTTTCATTTTGGTTTACTGCAGCTTTTGACTTGCAGAGCTGAAGTTTGAGATAAGTGCTTATCCTGGTACAGAATTAAGTATACCAGAGCTCCAGGCTAAGACATTCCCATTGTGAGTGGGAAGAGCTGACCTCATGCTTTGACCTCCCTGACTTTGACAGGACCTAAGTGGATTTATTCATACATTTAAGATTCAGCATATGCTTCTGTACATTTCTAAGCCACAGCCTTGGTGACAAACAACTCCAGATTAGTTGTATAAAATGGGTGATAAAGGTGAATAATACCATTTCACTCAGGATATCCAGACTGCTACTATGCAAGGTATGAAAATAACTGGGAAGGATGGGTCTGAGGTCTTTCCAATACTATAACTCTGTATTTCCCAATAATGTATTATGCTGTGATGTTCCAGGTGGGGTAAAACATTCTTTTCCAGCACTCCACTGTTACAGTCACTTCTGTGATGGATGTCTTTTTTTTCCTTTTTAATGTGTGTACACAAAATGAAGTTGGTGCAATTACGAAGTCTGTGATGTACAGATTTATTCTATCACCTAAAAGCCTGAGAAGAGGATTTTTTAAGAAATAACTACTGCTGTACATACAATAAAAGCCAGTTGTCTCCATGTAGTGTGCTGTCCTACATACCTAGTCTGCCATGAGTCAACAGATGGTTTTCTACTCCCCATCAGTAATTTGACCCCTTGTGTAACACAGTGCATTCACCTGTTTATTCAGGAGCAGAGTACTCACCCTATGTTGTCCTGGGGTGTTTCCGATAACCCTGGTCATTATCAGGTAGCCCTTTCTTTTTTTCTTGAGAAATCACCTGAAACATGGACTGGGTGGGTATCTAATGGAAAAAGTAACTGTGGAACTCACTGCAGTCACTTGTTCTTTACGTTGTAAGTAAGCATTTGTAATCTGGGGGGCAAAAGGGAAGGAGTGTTAGAGCCTAGATCTTGCACAGAAGACACCAGTACTAAAATGAGCACAGCTCAGGAGTAGGGTTCTCTTGTGCTGATTTTACTGAAGAAGTTATGTTCTATATTAATGCTGCCACAAAGCCCTACCAGACTGAGGGAAAAAACCAAAACCCACCAAAAATGGGCATTCATATGAAAATAGCTGCCATAGTGGTTTTATTCCCTTCCCAGAGTGCTGTACCTTCTTTTGCAAGGAAATTGTACGTTAGCTTACAGGGTGTTACTGCCCACATTTCTATGCCTGTTTATTTCATCTTCTCCGAGTGCTTAGCTGAAATTTTGTAATGGTCTCCTAACAAATCTTCTTACTTCTTCCTGCTCAGATCTTGGGTGAGGTTTTATAATTTGAGTCATGCCATTTGTGTACGCTACCGAAAGGGACTGTAGTGATAGGACAAGGGGTAACGGGTTAAAACTTAAACAGGGGAAGTTTAGATTGGATATAAGGAGGAAATTCTTTACTGTGAGGGTGGTGAGGCACTGGAATGGGTTGCCCAGGGAAGCTGTGAATGCTCCATCCCTTGGCAGTGTTCAAGGCCAGGTTGGACAGAGCCTTGGGTAACATGATTTAGTGTGAGGTGTCCCTGCCCATGGTGGGGGGTTGGAACTAGATGATCTTAAGGTCCTTTCCAACCCTGACTATTCTGATTCTGTGACCTACCAGAGCACGAGCAGGGGCAGATGTAGCACAAGTCTGGCATTGTGCTCATTCCTCCAGTTCATCATTCTTAAACAGTGAATGGAAGGCATCTTCATTTTGTATTATCTCTCTACCCCAGTGACCCTGGTGTCAGACACAAGTTCACATCCAATGTTAACTCTGCAGAAAGGTAGGAATACTGGGAGGGAATGGGGGATAGGAGGGGAAATCATTCTGGAGCTGCAGGATCCAGACTTACATGGTAAATCCAGACTGCTTCAGCTAGGAAACATAACAGCTTAAACTCTGAATTAGTTAATACTTACTCTGACAAAGTGAATGCACTGCAAGTAGGATAACCACCCTTGTGCACTGGCTGTCTCCTAGGCAGAAGGCTGGAGATAGCACTGTCAATGTGCATAGAGATGTACAAGGACAGTAAGTAAAAGCAGACTATTCAAAACTAAACACTAATCAGCTTCGACCGCTGAAAAAGCAAATGACCTGTACATGCACTTGGGTCCTGGAAAAATCCCCCTTACTACTCCTGTGCTCCCTGAAAACCTCTGATGAGCCATTTTTAAAGACTAAATGGTTCCCCTTCCTCAATTTAACGCCATTTTGCCAAGAAGCAGCATTTTCAAAATTGAAAGGCTGTGCAGTTTCAGTTTACCCAAGCACTTCGGAGAAGAGTCACGATACTCTCTACACTGGGTACTTGTGCAGAAGGGGACATGCACAGGTAAGGTGAGCAGCAATAAAGGCCCTTGTCTTAGCCAGCTGTTAAAGATGTAGCTGCGAGAGAACATCCCCCGGAGCGGTGCCTGCTTGCCATCATCTTTTTCAGTGGGGCTGTCACTGTGCAGGCTGGGCAGTCACACCACACCGCGTAACACTTTTGGGGGAAGATGGGACTCCCTTGCAGGCAACACGTCTTACTGAAGGAGACTGGGGCATCAACTGAATACCAAAAATACAAAGCGCCTAAGTACCTCTTTGTCCTGGCCTCTACCGGGGTGTTCTTGGATGCACAGCACGGGCTGCACCTGGGGGAGCAGCAAATGCTGCAGTAAACTGCACTCAGGGTTTAAACCAACTTGAGAAAGGAGGACACGCTTTCCTGGTCACCAGGATTCAGCAGTAGCCAATTACACAGGAAAATAGGCATTGCTGGTTACACGTTTGTATTCTAAGGGTGGCTACAGCGTTTGCTATCGAGCACAGTATGTCTGATAACATGCTGGTAACACCACGCTGACCACGCTTGAGAGCGCAGAACTCCTGATCCTCAACAGAGTCTGGGTTCGGAGGCCCTTGGGTCCTTGTTCAGGGCTGGGCTAAGGCTCAGTCAGCTGACAGCCTGCCGTGTGCATGATGCGGTGTCCCTGTGGGCCCTTCTCGCTCGTAAAGAGACTTCTTTAGGAGCTGGTTCCTCCCGGGAGGCGAAGAGCAAATCCCAGGTTGTGCAACCCAGCCTCTAAGCCAAGTCCAAAGGCAGCCACTTCTCTCCAACGCAGCGTAGGCCCTGCCGAGGGCGGTACGGGGGAGGGCCCGGCCTGGGGGGAACCCTGCGGCCCAGGGATGACGGTCGGGCCGTCGGCTGCCCTGGCGAGCGGAGAGCGGCGCCATGAGAGCAACAGCGCCAGCGGTGGCACCCGTAGGACTACCCTTCCCGTCGTGCTTTGCGGCCGGCCGCGCCGGCTTCCGGTGGCGCGTGGTTTCCGGAGCGGATCGGAACCCGGAGTCCGGATCCGATCCGGGTTTGGCCATTCCCCAGGCAGGTAACGCCGGTTCCCCGCGCTCCCGCCCGCCGCCTCCCCGCCACCCTTCCCCGGCCCACGCGCGGGACTCTTCACGCAGGATCACCGCCCCGTGCTCGGCCTGCGCCACCCGGGCCGCCGCGCCTCCGCTCGCCGCCCCACCGCTCCTCAGGGCGTGCGGGGCCGGGGCGAGGGCGGCGGCGAGAGTTGCCGGTACGGCAGCGGCTACGACCCCGCCGCCTCCTCCTCCGTCGCCTCCTCCATGCCGCCTGTTCTTTGTTACAGCGGCCGCGCCGCGGCGCGCGGAGGGAGGGCAGTAGGAGGGGGGCGAGGCGGGTCCGAGGCAAAACCCGGCGGAGCCGCTCCCGGATCCTCGGCTGGGCCCCGCCGCCCGACCGGTTCCTGGCGGCTGAGGCGCCGCTCACCCCCGGCCGTGCCCGCGGTCGGTGCGGGGCCGCGCCGCGGCCTCATCCTCGCCGCACTCACACACATTCACCCGCGACGACGGGAGGCTCCGGCCCCGCTGCCGGGCGCCGGCGGCGGCGGGGGGACGAGCCGCTGGGGCTGCGTGGGGCGGGGGAAACGGCGGGGGTGTCCCCGCAGGCGGGGCTCGGCCGGTAAAGCCATCGGTCTGGGGAGGGTGTGGGTCTTGTGAGGGCAGCGGCCCCAGTGGTGCTTGTGCCGCCAGTGGCGGCGTGTTCCCTTCGGCTGCTGGAGCGGGGAGCGCCCAAGTGCGAGGGGGAAATCTAAAGGGAAAAGGGTGGGAAGAGGAGGAGGCAGGTCTGGGAACCGGGCATGGGAACCGGCCATTACCGGCGGCTGACCCGGTGGCTGGCGGCTCTGCCGTTGCCTGCCCTGGCTCTGTAGGTGCACGCCTTTTGGAATCACAGAATGGTTTGGGTTGGAAAGGACCTTAAAGACCATCTGGTTCCAGCCCCACTGCCATGGGCAGGGACACCTTTGCACTAGACCAAGCTAAAAGCCCCGTCCAACCTAGTCTTGAAAGGGATGGGGCGGCCACAACTTCTCTGGGTAACCTGTTCCAGTGCCTTGCCGCCCTCATTGTGAAGAATTTCTTCCTTGCATCTAATCTAAATCTACCCTTTTTCAGTTTAAAGCCATTTCCCCTTGTCCTGTCTCTACGTGCCCTTGTAAAAGCCCCCCTACAGCTTTCCCGTAGGCCCCCTTCAGGTACTGGAAGAGGTGAGGTGTGTTCATTGCAAGACAAAAGGAAGAAAGCGGCAGCCTGCAGTGCTTGCTGTGCACAGACTTTCTGCCATACGCTTGTTTTCTGCTCGTCTTCATTAAACTTTGCATGTACTCTATGCACCAGAGGCAGAGTGACCATGGTCACTGTAAACGATGGAAAGGGAAGGTGGGTAACCTCACTACCCACTTTGTGATCCCCCCAACTGGTGCATAATGTGTTCCACTCTGCCTTCTCAACAGTAGCTGATAGAATGGTCGTACTTCTTTAGAAATACAGTGCCTTGCTGTAGTTTACTAGATATTCTGCCAGGTAGTTTCTGATTACTTTGAGCAGGAGCATGAACAAACTAGACTACATCATGAAGAAAACAATCTGTGTTTTTAAGTGCATTCTGCTTGCACAAATATATTTTCAGTACCCATCTGCCTCTGTTTTCAAGTTACTTATTCCCACTAGTTGAAGCCCATTCTAGAACTTTAATGGAAAAATGAAGCAAGAAGAAGGGGGAACATTAATTTGACTTTGTTGGTCGTTAAATACAGATTTTTAGGGTTTGGTTTTATTTTTATTTTTTTCTTACCGGGTCTTTTAAAATCTACGGCAAGATCAGAATTGCTCAACCTGCCACTGCAGCCTGATTTCTTTCTTCAGCAGTTTAGAAGGGGAAACGATGCTGTTACACCAGGTCTGATTTATGTGGATAGCTTACGGCTTGAGTGGTTCCCTGCTGCTGCACATCATGCTCTGTAAACAGATACCTGTGATGATGCATCCCCTCAGTGTCTTCATTTGGGTTCCCTCGAGTTTCAGAAGTGTCCAGAGGCCCGTGTTGCAGCTGGAGTTTGCTTAGCTCTGTGTATTACTCTCAGGCACAAATCACTCAATTAATTGTACTGATTATAAACCAAAAAAAAAACAGAAAATTCTGGTTTTCTGCCATCAGAATTGGGCCTTCTACCTGTGCTCTAACTTCTGTTGTAGCTTTTCACCTGGTTATTCACTGCTTAATGATTGCTCTCTGTTTTATATTAAAATATCTGTAATTCTGAGAAGCTTTTATTATCTCTGCAAGGCAAGAACATGATCATGTGCAGCAGGATGAGTGACTTAATGGAATATTTTTCTGATACAAATGCTTGAAAAGAAAATCAGACATGGCCCACAGCAGCAGCAGATGAAGGTGAAAAACTTTGAATCTGTCTTCAGTGCCATCGTGTGAGCTTGCATGGCACTTCATGATTCTGTTTACCAGCTGGGGTGGGTGGCATAATGTCATCTATTTCAAAAATCCTTGGGAAATACAGTTGAGATTTGCCAAGAGTTTTGGATCCCATGGGTTAGCAGTATACGAGTATGTGTTTGCAAAGCAGAACTGTTAAACCCATTTTGGGGCAGCCCTTCTTTTCTTACACACGCAGCAGTTTATAGCAAGGTGCAGATACAAACTCAAGGTTCGTAGCTCTCTTTGCACCTGCATGTTGAGGTGTGAGTTTGTTACCCGCTCCTGTTTATTTTAGAGGGAAATTTTATTTCCTGTTTATTTCAGAGGGAATTATTTCAGCAGGTCATTGTGCTGAGCACAGGAAAGACAGATAACAAATCAGGAATGTTGCAGTGTGGAAAATGAAAGTACGTGCTGCAAAAGTGAGAATTGTGCTAATGCAGACAGTGAGATGCAGTGTGCTTATCAACTGCGCAGAGTGCGTTTGAGGGACTTTTATGCTTTCTCCCCATCACCTTGAACGTTTCTGGTACTATGATTTCCCTGCCCCTTTGTTGCTATTCTCATCTATGGTCCCTAGAACAAGACTGACATGGCTGTTTCTGTAATGCTGCCGGTCATCAGTCTGCAGTTTGTGAAGAAGGCAACACAGGGAAGTCCTAGAAGGTGAATGCCTTTGATGAGCAGGTCATGCAGCAGCATTGCTGGTCTTGATGACTGTGTCCCCTGCGTATCTGAATCACTGACCAAGAAAAGTATTTGTTAATTCAGCCATATCGAGGATTAAAGTCTTGTCAGGATACAAACTATCTAAAAATAACTGGATGTACACGGCTTGAAAGAGTGCAGAGCATCTGCAAAACATCTTGGTTAAAAAGCAAAGCAAACCATTTTTGCCATCAACCTACAATACAGTTTCTGTGACTTGCTTTGCACCATTATACTGTAGGATTCTGTAAACACCTGTTGCATTGCCTGCAGTGCTTTCAGGTAAAAAGCTTTTGAGAAATTCCCTGAGTTGCTGCTCATGCTCAACATTGGGATTTTGTATCTAAGTTTAAGTACTTTATCGTAACAGTAGCCAAGAAAGGCCTAGCTTGTGCTGCAGAAGGGCAGCGCTGGCCCTTTACTGGGGCCGCAGGTGTTAGGAGGGATTGTGCTGTTCACGTGAGGTGGAGTTGGGGAGGGCAGTGCTTGGGACAGGCCGGGATGCCCAGACTCGGTGACCAAAATCCTCCTTAGGCTGTTGCCCAGATAACTAAGCAGCAGGATCCCACCTGCTGTGACCAAGAGCCACAGGGACCAGATGTTCTTTTGTATTCCCATCAGTTGACATGCTGGCTCTCCACTCAGCACCCCTCCATGTGGCAGTGGACGTCCTTTGGTAATTGGGAGTAACCTATGGATTTATAAAGGATTCTTTTTGCTGCTTCTGGAGGAGGTTTGAGGGGGAGCAGAGCATGGATGCAGCCAGCAGCTAAAGACTAGACATTGCTGCCTGGTGTGCACAGGCACCATCATGGCATTAGCCACAGGCTTGGCACAACTATGGAGTCCTTCCTGAAACAGTGGAAGGGGTTTTGTGGGACAGGGACTTCACTTGTGCTGAGAAGTCAGTAGAGCCGGTATCTGTGCAGTAGTTGCCTCTCCGGGCTCCAGCCTGAGGTGTGTTTCCAGGCCTCAGCCACACAGACCATATGAAGCATCAGTGTTCAAGAATAAACTCATAATGGGAAGTCCTGCTCCTGTGCTGATCCTGAGTGCTTATACACATCTCTGGCTTGGCTTTTGTTGTAGTGGCAAATGCATTATATTTTTTTTCAAATGGCTCTGCTAGCTTGGTGTGTCTTTGCTTACTTTTCCTCCCCTGTTCTCCCTCTCACAGGTTCAGTCTCTTATTCCTTCCTGTTCTCTTGACCAATGTGTTTGCCCTTTCTGCAGCCTCATTCTCTCTTAGAATTGGGTCATGATGTTCAAGTTGCTTTGCTTCTCACTGGGCCATTGAGAAAATTGCTTATTTGAAGAGGAGAACCTTTTCATGGTTAGAAAAGGGAAAACAATTGTCTAGATCTTGCTTGTGTCATGGTCTTAGCCATACATAATCATACTATTTGCCAACCATTTAGATTGCCTAGACGTCATTGAGGACCCAGTTTTTAATACATACTGCCAAAACTGATTTATGAAAGTGAATATAGGTTATCCTTATTTTACAGGTCAAAGCAAATTGATGACTTAACGTTTCATGGAAGATCAGTTACAAAGATGAGATTAGTTTTCCCAGGTTTTCTGATGTTTGTTACCGCAGTATACCTTTGCCTTTGGAACAAATCATGATCGTATCTGCAGTTCTTAGGTTCTTGAGATTATTGTGTTTATTTAATAACTGATCCACCCTTCAGAGGTAATTTTTTAAGCTACTGTTCAATAAAATGCTTCACTGAACCAGACAGGCTTTGTTTCTGTGCTGGTTGTTGCTGGCCTGGATTAGTCCTCTGGCTCTGTTTGTTCTGAGGCTCCACAGGAGCTTATAGCAGGGGATACACAGGAATGTCTGAAGGTTGGCAAGAGGAAGGATGAGGAATGACGTGTGACAGCATTGCCTCAGAGAGAAATGCCTCTGAACCTACGGACATTTAGGCTTCTTGGTGGTGAATTCAGCAACACATGTAATGATACAGCAGCCACTGAAGGATTTCTAGCAACTTTAATTTCTTTGACTTTCCATTGATACTCCTGCAATGTCTTTGGTATGGCTCTGGGTGAGTCAGCATCATTACACCATAAAGGGGTTCTATACTATGGAAAGTAGAAGTCATTCAGAACTAACCTTATCTTTTGTATTTTGGCAGGCTTAAAAATGGCTGGAGATGGCAGTGATGAGACTATGTTTATCTGTAAGTATTAGAAAATGATCTAATTCTGATGATGTGACTTGTCTACTCAGAATGTTTGAAATGAAAGACTAAAACAGACAAAGTTTTTATTTAGAAAAGTATTTATGTAAGGGAAGTTTAAACAGTTTGTGGGGTAAGAGAAGGTTGCTCATTTTAAGCATGAGCATTCTCATGGTTGGGTTTTTTTTTTTGCAACCAGATAAAGAGACGTCTGAATGTTAGCAGAGCAGCTTTTTCATGGTCGAAGTGAGATTGAAGGCCTAAAACTAGCCTAAGCCCTAACCCCAGCTTTAGCAACCAGGAGTGTCTGTGGGGAACTCTGACCTCTAGGCTGTGTGAAAGATCTGCACTTCCACAGATGGAGGACGCAGGCTCATCCTTTCTGGACAGTTAGTGTCATTGAATACGCGTTTCATAGACAAAAGAGAGTTTTGGAATTTTTTGATAGAAGTTTGTATATATACTTCCCTCAAGGTATTTTACCATTTAACCCATGCTTAGTTTTGTATTCCTCCTATGGCTGTAATCTCTTGAAAGTGTCACATATGGTGAGTGTAAAAGCCTTGGGGAATGTCTGCTGTAAGGCATCCCTTAGATTTTGATAGACACACTACACAATGTATCAGTATCAAGTCCCCTCTGCTTTTGTCATTCATCTGCAAAGGCGTGAGAGAAATATGTAGCTGATTACCACATGTAGTTTTGGACAATACTGTCTGCCCCTTGTTGAACCTGTGCAGTGGCTGGTACTTTGCAAAGGTGAGGGGTGTAGTTGAAAGATGAGGGGAATGATGAAGCGCTTCGTTTTCTCTGGCAGCAAAGCCAAAAGAGCCTGTTGCTCCAGCTATTCCTTCCTGTCCCCGTTGGTTATGACAACCCTTTGTAGATGATAATCCAGTTCTTTTCAATAGTCTGGTTTGCACATTCCTCTGTGGCTCCTTCACCCTCTCTAGTTTTGGAAATTTGTATTTATCCCAGATAATTTCTGTAATATTAAGGACAGTGTGAGCTGCAGGCACAGCTAAGGGTGGTGGTATGGTAAACAGTGCAGGATGGCTGTAGGCTTAGTTGTGATGCCAGTGCTAAGTGGACAGCACTTTCCCACAGATCCTTTTCTCTGGTACAGCTGTCTGGTGCTGTACAGCAAACTGGATTGGGAAATTCATTCATCTGAAAAATAAACTGATGGGAAAAGCTTGATGATCCTTTCCTTGGTTCACCAGAAGGGAAGAAACGGCAGCTACGCTAGGGGGTTGCACAAGCTGATACTACCACCATTTGTCAAATGTACATGGATTTTCACTGCTAAGCTGTTTTTGTTGCCAGAAGAAGAAACAATATGGAGCACTGCATTGTAGTTTGGGATCCCTTTTCCACATCTAAGAAGAAATTTTTTTGTTAGTTCACTGGGACTGATACTGGGAGGGAGAGGTTTCCAGTTAGGAGTAAAGAGTGGCTTTACCAGAAGGAGTATACCCTGGAATGACATGGCTTTTTTCTTGTTCTCTTTCCAAAGTGTAACCACCCTCTACTTTGCATCCTTACTGGGGTTACCTGACTTGCCCTTGTGAGCATGGAGCTCAGGTGTAAATCGCATTGTAGGAATATAACCCCTGTGCGATGATCTCTTCTTAAGCTGCATTAGCAGCTGACCAGACAGGGAAGTCTGACAGCTATTTTTTTACGGTGAAGCAATGTATATGCGTTTGAAATCCTGTTCAGTCAGCTTATTTTAGAAAGCCACAAATTATCCTGGTCTGAAAATTGTTTTTTAGGAACCATTCAGTTCTGGGTAATTTACAGCCACGTAAACTAGAAGTTAATTTAGGTAAGCTAACAGTGAATTAAGAAGTGGCTGAAGTGTACTGTGCAGCAAGCTGACTTGTTTGGAAAGGCACCAGAAGGTATCTTGGAGGTTTCTCTCCCTGCACTGTGGGTGAAGAGCCTGAGTGGGCCAGACATGGCTCTAGGCAGAGCTGTGCTCTCACAGCATGTTCATGCCCTGCTGAGACCCTGTGACAGTTCTGCTACTGCTACTGGGTTTGTGCCTCCTGTCACTAAGAAGACCACCCTACCCAAGCTCTTTCTAAAAGCCTGGGTGCTGGGAAAGTTTTCTTTAGCTGCTAGATGTTATGGCACTTTATCTGAAGAATAATGTCATCTTTAAGCAGAATAGTTGCTGTGGATGTAAGGCAATTATTTTCCTTTGAGAGAGAATTTTAACAATTGTCTTCTAATTGTACTGATCATTGTGTGTATTATCTCACCTACACAAGTGCCAGCTGTCAACTTGATGTTCAATTATACATGTTCTTTTAAGCAATATAAATAAACATCTGCCTCTGTATGTATGTATTTTGCCTGGTGTTAGATTTTGTATTTGGCTCTTGAAAGGAGAAGGCAGCTGTCTAACGGAGTGTTTTCCATCAACCTTTCTGTATGCTGTCTGCTTCCTTGCAGGGTGCGAGGACTGTGGGCAGTACCATGATTCAGAGTGTCCTGAGCTTGGCCCCGTGGTGACAGTCAAAGACTCCTTTGTATTGAGCAGGGCAAGGTAAGGAACATTTGTGTTAGCTCTGATTAACCCAACACCCATATTAGTTCTTTAAAGCATATTTGCTATTTAATGATTTTCACAGTGACAGCTGAAAAGTGAAGCCCCAATCTATGGAAAGCATATGGCCTTGATTAAATAGAAAAATTGATGCATACCCTTAAGTGCTTTACTGAATCGAAGCCAAAAAATAATATGCTGCTCATCAGGACTTGGCTTCTTTGCTGAGGTTTCTGGCAAAAAGATACTGCCAGATGGGGTGATGACTTCTGTCTTGGTTGAGTACCTGCAACTGTTTCCCCTCCTCATGTGTACCTTATTAGATTCATAGAAATGTGTGAGGATTTCTCATTTGTATGAATTGTTGTGTCCTCCTGCTTGGTATAACCTCTGAGAGGCAAAACAAGTTGTTCTCTTTATTATGAGATTTTACGAATGATAAGGGGTAATGCTTCTGTCAGAAAATGTGTGACAGTATGGCAGAAACATTCATGCTTGCCAAAAGAAACAAATAGGCTAAACCTAACTGGGAGAAAACAACACTAAGTAGTGATTTTTATAGTGAAAGGCAATCAGGAATGTCAGCAAACTTCATATTAATGTGTAAAATATAAGGCTAAGGGAGAGAAACAACTATCGTGAAGATGCAGGACAAGTCAAAAAAGGAAAGAGAGTTCAGATGGCTTCTTGTATTATAAAATGTGCTAAGGGCTTCCATATTTTTTGGGGGGGAAATCATGGACTTAAAATGTGGACAGCAAGTCTGACATATGGTGGCTGTGTAGGTCATACTGTGTAATCCCAGTAACAAACACTAAATGTGTTGGGTCTGCCATGTGGATGCCCTGACCCATCTCTGCCTGGGCCACATATTCTTGGTGCCCCACAGTGTACACTGGCTGCATAGCTGGTTTTCTGGGCTTTCCCAGAAAAGGAAGCTCCTTGCAACTCCTACCAGTCCTTGCCTTCCTATGCCTGGAAACCTGCCATGGATGATCTTCTGCATCAAGTGTTAATGAGGACTACTGTCTTAACAGGCCTGATGCTATTGTCTCTTCTGCTCTTGCCATAAGCTCCTGGGAAAAGCCTGATTCCTCCATCCCAATTACATCCCTGTAGGTATACACAGATGGCTTTTTGGGCCGCCACGCCATCTCTTTCCCAGGCTGATCAAGCTCTCCTTCCCCAGCCTGCCCTCACTGCTCTAGCCTTTGACCATACTGGTGGTCCTCCCGTGAGCTCAGTCCAATTTGTTACGTCTTTCCATTTCATGAGCCTGAAATGGGAGGTAGGATCTAGCAAGTGCAGAGCAGAGGGGGATGATCATTCACCTCAGTCTGTTGGCTGCTACAGTTCATACCATCCAGAATGCTTATGGTCCCCTTTGCTGCTGGGACATTCTATGGCCTCATGTCCAGCTTGCTATCCACCACCTCCCCCCCAGGGTCTTTCTCGCTGGTGATGGTACTGGCTGGGGTTCTTTCTTCCCTCCTGCAGGGCTTTGCATTTGTCCTTGGAATTTCATGTGATTCCTATCAGTTTATCTGTCTATCCAGGCTATCCAGGTCCCTCTGGATAGCAGTCTCGCCATCTGACTATGTCCCCCAGTCAGTGTGATCTGCAGACTGGACAGGAGTGCACTCCATTGTCCGTTCTAGGTTGTTGATAATGGTGTTAAACAATACAGAAGTCCCAGCACAAATCTTTGTGGTACCCCAGTTATGGTCTCCAGGTAAAGAACAGGACCCTCTAAGCCTGACAACCCAGCAGCTTATTTACCCTAGTAGCTGTGTGCCCTCCAGTCCATAACATCCCAACTTGGACAGAGAGATAGCGTTGAAAGCCTTACTGAACGGCATCCACTGCTTTTCCCTCATCCACAAACATGGTCATTTTATCCTGGAGGGCAAACAGTCTGTCAGGCATGAGTTGCCCTTAGTCAGTCCATGGTGACTGTTTCTCTTGCCACCTTCTCATGTGCCTCTAAATGCCTCTCAGAAGGTCCTGTTCCATGATTTTCCCAGGAACAGAAGTGAGGCTAACCAAGCTGCAGTTTCTTGTATCATCCATTTGGGCTCTTTTGAAGATGGGTGCAACATTTTTCTTCAGTCATCAGGGGCCTTCTCTGATGCCCATGATCTTTCCAAAACAATTGAGAATAGTCTAACTATGGTAGTGACTGCTCTGTCAGCACCCACAGGTGCAATCTGTCAGGTCTCTGGGCTTACATGGGTTGAACACTCATTTAATCACGTATGTGGCAGACTTGGCTGTCTCTGAAGTTGGGAGAAATACATGTTGACTTCTTTCCATGGGTTTCTGTACTGTTGTCCCATGTGTAACTTTTTTTTTCCCCTCAATTCTCTCTTCAATTTTTAGATCATCTCTGCCTTCTAATTTGGAGATAAGACAACTGGAAGATGGGACTGAAGGAGTGTTTGCTCTGACTCAGCTAGTGAAACGTACTCAGTTTGGCCCATTTGAATCCAAGAGAGTTGCCAACCTGGAAAAAGAATCAGTTTTTCCCCTGAAGGTAAGACAGGGCACATGAAAAGCAATAGCAAGGAGTCAGGTTTACCCACGATGAATTTATGCTATCTTACACTATGGGAAAAGATGTGTAGGGGCATCATTTGGGACATCTTTTAAGCATGCCCTGTAATGGACTAGCTAAACAACCATTCTCTGAGCAACATACAGAAGAACCAAACTGTAGATTCATTCTGTGTGTTCCATGGGAACATGGTTACAGGAGACACCTTCTGCATGTGATGATACAAGAGGGACAATGATTATGGCAGCTCATTTCAGTTGTTTTAATGAGTTTCTTCAATTTGATTGTATGTGATGAGTGACATACACACTAGGTTTATGGAACATGCAGAGTAAGTATTTTTTTCTGTCTTACATTTGTTTTACTCTTTTCTTGACAAGTTTTGGTAGGAATAATGCTACAGTAAAAGTTAAATTCAGTTTTAGTTTTCAGTAATACCTAACTCAGAAGCAAAGATCCAGAAAAGTGAATTGGGCATGCTGTTTGCATTCTCCTCCATTCTCCTGTATTCAGTCATTAAGATTTTGTGAGAAACTGGTTGCTATAGCAAGAATTCTTCAGATAAAAGTTCAGTTTGCTCCCATCCTGCCCCTGGTAGTCTGTCTAAGACATCCTCATCTGAAGATGTGACGGATACATCACATCACATACATCGTGATGCAAGTGTTGAGGCTTGCTTTGTCTCTGATGTGCATTGAATGGAAGCCGTTGCAAAAGCAGAAAATAAGGTTTATTTTTAACTTTGCATTATTTGGTAGGGTTTTATTATATGGATATTTTGTTTGGCAGGTGTTCCAGAAGGATGGGCCCCTGGTATATTTTGACACCTCAAATGAAGATGACTGCAACTGGATGATGATGGTGCGACCAGCCACTGAATATGAGCATCAAAACTTAACTGCCTTCCAGCATGACAATGATATTTACTTCACCACCTCCCAGGACATCCCACCAGGAACTGAGCTGCGAGTGTGGTATGCAGCTTTTTACGCCAAAAAAATGGAAAAGCCAGTGCTGAAGCAGGTCTCTAGTATTGCCAATGGTATGTGTGGGGGCCTTTTTTCCTTCCTAAGGGCCCAGTTCTGATAGGGACTGATAGTCCCCTACTGGTGTAGTTGACAGTGCTGTTTATCAAATAGGTTCTGACCCTGAGTTTGTTAGCCTTAGAGTCAGGCTGACCTGCATACATGGTTGTCCTACGAGAAGAAAGGATAGATGATCATGATATATCTAAGGTTTTGAAAATGGATGGCCTAATTGATGATTCAGCATCTTCAGAGTAATCAAACTGGATAAGTAGTTCTTAACTAAAGAAGTGGTGGTGGCATCAAAACATTTCTGGGTAGAAGAGCAAAGGAACCCAAGAATCAGTGGAAGTGTAAACATTTATGCAGATTTGCTCAAGAAGCATTCTCTTTCAATTGAAGTGAAAGTTTTGCTTTTGCTCAGAACTGTTACACAGTTTTGGAAACTTCCATGTATCTTATGCAGCCTTACATGGGACCCACTTGAATAAGTTAAGCTCAAGAGTGAACTGCCATTCCACATGATTTCTTGTGCATTGGCAAAGAAAGGCAGCAGGTTTTTTAGAATCTGAATTAGAATTGCCAGAAGTCTTTTTTTTTCCTCTGCCTCTTCATTTTCTTCTGCTTTTGCATTTCTACAGCTAAAAGGCACGATCCTTTAGCATTGCAAGAGCATTTTTGTTCTGCTCTTGAGCTCGAGTACTCCCTGAATGGTACTGCTAGTCTGAATATAATTTGGGGTGACAAATGGCTTGGGGGAGGGCATTGCCATCAGCATGCTTTACAGCTGATCTTGATGGTAAGCACATTCTTAAGTGCTACAGCTGAATCTATGCGGTTAAGAGGTTTTTGAATTCTGAGATGTTTCCAGTTGGTATTAACTGAGTTTTCTCTTTAGTTTAACCTGTTCCTGTATTTTTGTGTTCATATGGGTATTTAAAAATACTGTTTAGGTATGTCCTGCATTCTATGTTCAGCACTTTCACTATACACTTCAGAATATGAAAGGCACATTTTGTGAGATTCAGGCTTAAGAATGTTCTGGTTAGGATTTTACATGAGAATGTATTTGCAGGCCTGCCATAGGGCAAAACTTTCTGACTATAGTTACTGCCCTCAGCACAGAGCAAGAGAATCAAAGGAAATCTGGAAAGTAAAAGGAACTGTTTTTCCTCTTCACAGATACATGCTTGGTAGTGATGGATTCTGATAAAGAGGGAAATAAAACATCTTCAAAACCTTCGTCTGCTGTCTTCCCCCATAAAAAAACGAAGAAATGCAGCATACCAGCAGCTGATCCAGCAGGTATGCAAAAATCATGGTATTCTTAAAGGAGTCAGAGGACAGATACAGATCTAAAGAGCTGCCATGTGTACCACTTCTATGCAGATATTATGGTTATATAGCCTTGGACAGATCCTAATCTAGAGAGGATTTGAAAGTCTGCGGTTTCTTTTTATTTTCATGGCCATTGTGCTTATAATACATTTGCAGGTTAAAAAATGACAGAAAACCACAACTGCTTCTGACTTTGGAGGTGGTTATTAGTGGAAGTGGCGTGGGGGGTGGGGGGTGCAATTGCAGAGAAAATCTTCAGACGCTCTCTGCAAAGTGTAATAGTTCAAATTATCAGAATTTTGCTCACTAATACTAAAATTAGCCAGAAGAGGAGGAGAATTGTTGCAGATGTGTACAGAGCAATTAATCAGAAGATCCATTCATTTAATTGGATACTGTCACAGCTAAAATGTGAAGTTGACTGGGGAGTTGTCTTTGATTTTGGCACCACTGATTTATTTTGCTGGGGGAGAGGAAACTATGAAGAGTTTTAACAATCCCTTCATCCTCCTGAAAGTCCAACTTCAATAGAAACAAAATGCTGTGTGTTATACTTTGGGAATCCTAAAGTGCTCTCACTGAGATAATATTTTGGTATTTCCAAAGCTAAATATTATACCTCTCTTGATTCTGTATATTTGCCTCAAGTAGTACGAAGCAGTTGCCAACTGACAGATCTGTTCTTCCAAGTAAACTGGATTGCCCTGCAGCCATGCTGGAAGCCTGAAGTGGAAATCTAAGCAGGACCTGAGTCTTCCTGGCAAGGCAATGCATAACCAGGGTTTCCAGGTTTACTCCTTGAGGCAGCTAAGGAGCAAGGGAACTGCAGAGTCAGGGACAGTTTTCCAAGGCAGACTTCAGTTTTGCAGATGGTCCTTTTTAAGCTTTATTAGCCTGCAACTTTGTGAGGCTGGTGGAGTAGCTTACCTGTTGCCTGCCAATCTGACTGGTTTTTGAAGTTATGCAGAATCTTGGGGTTTAGGTTTGCTGGTTTTAGCCTCCCAGACAGAGCTCTGAACTTCTTTGTATAGTCTGTGAAGAATAAACTGATGTTGCTGAATTGTCTAGTCATTTTTTTGTTTAGTTATTACATCATGGATGAGATCACGCTTCTGTAGTGCAGAACATTGAACGTAACTTGTAGCAGGGACACTCTGTGCCTCAGAGAATCTTTTATTTTGGTCTAAGAGACAACACTGAAAAGGAGGAATATAGGAAATCTGTGGCAGAAACTGAGGCACAGTTACCCACACAGTTACCGTGACTGATACCCAGCCCGACCCGAGCAGCAAGTAACTCTCCTCAGTTTATATACTGGGCATGACGTGCTGTGGTGTGGAATACCCTTTTGGCTAGTTTGGCTCAAGGTGTTCTGTCCCTGCTTCCTTCTGGCCTCCCTTGCTCCTCCTCGCTGTCAGAGCATGAGACTGCAAAGTCCTTGGTCAGAGTAAGCATTACTAAGCAACAACTAAAAACAGTTCAGCAACTATTCTCAGGCTAAAGTCAAAACCACAGCACTGCACCAGCTACTGCAAGGAAGGAGAAAAATTACTGCTACAGCTGAACCCAGGACAGCTGCCATTCACTTAACTAATTTCAGTGTCATACTCGTTCTCTGAGAGAGTCTTGTCGACTGTGGACTATTCAGCTTTGTATGTACCAAAAAAAAAATCTCTGAACCAGTCTAGATTTATCAGATCCTCTTAACAAATTCAGACATATCATCCAAGGACTTAAAGACAATGGACACTGAACAGAGTAACTGTTTTCCTCTTTTCTTTTTTTTTTTTGCTTTTTTTATTCCAGTTCAATTTTCCCTCTAATTTCTTCTTTTTTTTTTTCTTTATCTGGAGTGAGCTGATATGTTAATGAAAACATATAATATGGTGGTTTTATAGAACATCTGATTAATGAAATTGAGTTATCATTATCCTCACCTTTACTTCCGTTAATCCAGATGTTCTTACTCTGCAATGCTTTTCATGGAGGGCGAAGAAGCTTCTCTTGCTTCTGTCCTCAGTTGACCCAGAAGAGTACTAGTAACACCGGTTTTAAAGGTGCTAAAAATGGCTTTATATTGTGCCTTTGATAATCACAATTCTTTAGAAAGTGATAAAAGGACCCTTTAGACTTCAAAAGAGCACTGATACTCTCTTTTGGCATCGTTTCTGTTCTAACTTCTCATCTGTTCTGATGCTTCAGGTGTTCATATTTGAAAAATCGTGAAATTATCCCAGATGCCCCTGTGGGCCTCTTACTGCTTAAATTCTGACTTGTGTTACTCAGGGAGTTATTGCAAGATAAACAAAGCTGCAGCAATTTTTCACCTTCCCATTTTCAAAGCTTTTCAGTATTTCTCCTTGTGATTTAGTGAACACTCCAGAAGGCAGCAGAGGTGCAGAAGCAGAGTCCAGCCAGTGGACGTGTAAAGTGTGTTCATCTGCATTCCAGGAGCCTCATCTGCTGACGGGTAAGTGCTAGAAATTCATGAGAGACTACTGAGAAAAGTCAGAATTCTGCTTTTCCAGAGCAGGGCACTGTGAACCCATGCCCTGTCTATGATGCAGTAACATAAAAGTCTTAATATTTGTGTTTTTTTAAGAAAGAGGGAAAATGGTAAAACAGTGGTATTTTGGATATGGCAGTCAGTGGTCAATCTATGGACAAACAACTGTGATCTTGAATCTAGAAGAAATAAAACTTGTATAGGAAATGACATGTGAATGTTAGGCATATCAGGGATGTGGAATTGCATGAAAAATGTGTAAGGTCAGTGATGCCAGCTTATTCTTAGTAATATTGTGTGGCATTTACAGCACAGATTTAGTAAAGGTAATGAAATACTTCTGGGTTTTTTTATTGCATTTCCTTTGCAGCTATATTGTGCAGTTTTCAAAAGAATTTAAAATATTGAAGAGCTCTGGCCATCTGATGAATCATTTCTGAAAAGAGGACCTAGGCTGCTAAATAACTTTGACATTCGGTAAAACATGCCTATTATCAGGGAGCACAACCTTTTTATAGTGATATCTAATAAATCTCTTAATAATTCAGTCCCTGTGAGTAATTGTTTCAATGTTTAATAGACTGTATGCTTTTGAAATAATTTGAAGTGAGTGTCTCCTAAGTGATGTTGCCCTCATAAGCTGGATCTATCCATTTGAGTATTTCATGAGAGTTTCTTACCTCCTTACTCTGATGTTCTTTCCCGTCCACCCAGAGCACTTGCTGAGTCACCTGGAACAAGCTAAAGGTGCCTCCCAAACCAGCCAAAATGAGGCTGTTGCAGAGAAAGCAGTAGAAGCTTCCCCTGTAGATCAGCCAGTGACTTGTGATGCAGCCAGTGCCAGTACAGACTCAAGGAGGAAGGCCAGGCGGGGAAGAAAGCCCAAAACAGCAAAAGCAGAAGCACCTCTTGTTGCTGAAGAGAGAGATTCTGCAGGTAAAGCAAAACTTAAGAAAATGCTAAGCATGTATCCGCTCTTCTGTATTGATGCCACCTTAGAAAGACCTAAAAAGTAGCAGAGACAAGATGGAGGGTTTTAGTTAGATCACTTAAGCAGACAATTTACAAACTTTGTTAATTATCTCTGATGGCCTTGTCTACGGTAAATGTTGTAGCACCTACACTTAGATTGCCTTCATTCTCCTGTGACGGTTTTAGTAATGGAGAGGCCTGGAGACACACAGAATAGTGGCTATGGGAGACCTGCCTAGGCTTCTACAAGAAGGAGCAGGAGGTAAAGCATCCTCCCTCTCAAGAGGAGATACCTTCCTCTGTCTACCAAAGTTTATTCTTGAAAGGGACCATTTTTCAGGGCCTTACCTTCCTTCAAGGGAAGTTCTAGTAGGAAATTTCATAATGCATAATCAACTGACACCTTAGTAATAGGTTGGAAAGGTTAAGAAACTGCCTCCCTAAGAGATGTTGACTACACCTCACTTGTCATTCAGTAGTGAATTTTTCTATCTTGCAAGAGCTACCTACCTACTCATTAGCAATCCATTATTTATCATTGACAACTAATATGTTTGTGAATAAATAATGTATTCATGCCAGATCTCATTACAAATTCTGTATTTGAGGTTTTATTTCTACCTATCCACATTAACTCTGTACTTTCATGATGTGTTTGCAGTGGAACGCGTATCTGACATTGTAACTCAGGTCCCACCTGAAGAGGTAGCCCTGCCTTCAGCTGCAGAAGAAAGGATTATGGAATTGGTTTTAGGAAAGATGCCTAGCACCACAAGTAGCATCAGTTCAGTGACAAAGTAAGTGTTCTGGGATGCAGTTTCCTCTTATGCTTAGTTAAGATTCTGTAGCATGTAACAGCTCTGCTCAATTGGGTCCACAAATGCTCTTTCTCATTAGTGTAAAATTGTGTGATGCTGCTGCTGCTACAAGAGCTGACTTTGAGTGCCACAGAGATGGCTTGTGCACTGGAGGATGGTGGTACAGAGATGGTGAGATTGGTGGTAGAATTTTGACACATAAATGATGAGAATTTAATTTTTCATTACGATACTGCTTTTATTTAGTGTGATTCCAAAAGTCTCCTACAGCTGCAAGGTGAAATATTACTCCCATTGAATGTTGGTGAGAAAACAGGCAAACAGATTTTTGCTAAAAAAATAAAAATAATAAAATATGCTAACTGTTATTACTCAGTTTTGCATCTTAACTCATAAATGATTTCTTGTTGATTTGTCCGTGTGATGCTTCAGATTTTGAGCAGTGGGAGGGGAAAACTTCAGTATAACAGTGCCTCAGGGAGATTCGTAAATATAATTCAACTAATTTAGGTTCTTTATGTCTTTTTGTCTTGGTATAATTGGCTTTTTCAATTATTTTTTGTGTAATAAAGCACTTGATTTTTCAGAATTGCCTAGTAGTGCTATATATTGAAGTCCTTAGCAGACACAGAGCCATCAAAAATGCGTTTCAGCAGGTGGTTGTGCTGGGAAATAGAACAGTACTGCTTCTTGGCACCCTGCCACCCTCTTATTATATATGCCTTTTGCATGCAAACTGCCAAGCTTTCTAAGCTGAAGAGTGCTAATATTTTCAGATGAGCAGAACAGATCCTTTATGTTCCTCTGAGGGCCTTCAAAGAGAATCTCTGAGGCTGGTGGCTGCTGCTTTTTTCCTCTTTGTGCTGGGTGAAGATAATTTGGAGTGAGCTGCGCTCTGACATCTGCCACTTGCAGGGGGTGGCCAGGAGGGTACCTTGGCAATGAGGAAGCCCCAGGCTCTTTCCCTCCTGCCAGAAGCTGAGCATAACACTCCTCTAGCTTTTGCCAGTTGGTGGGGCTCTTTCTTGCAACCTGTGGGATACCTTTCAGTCCCTGCCTTTCTTTCTCTAATCCAGTAGGTTTGCTCATCACCAAAACACCATGTCCCTCAAAAGAAGTTTAATTCTCTCCAGTAGACACGGTATACGGCGGAAACTGATAAAACAGCTTGGGGAGCACAAGCGAGTCTATCAATGCAGTATCTGCAGTAAGATCTTCCAGAACAGCAGCAACCTCAGCAGGCACATCCGTTCTCATGGTGGGTTTGCTTTTGTCTTGCATATTGATTTTGTGTCTCATTGGTTCCACCTTTGAGTAAAAGAGCTAGGCTGTTTTAGATAGTGGGATACATAATTTTAAGTGATTTGGGGGATGGGGCTTAAGTTGCTCTAGGAAACATTTTTGTTATGCAGGCCAAAGCATACAAATATAATAGTTGAAAGTTGGAGTATTTAAAATTTGAATTTAGGTACGTATTTTAAACAAAGGCAAGGATGCAGTGGTTTTTCCAAAGCTATTCTTGCCTTTAAATATATATCATGCCCCACCTTCACAGGCATACGGGCAGCATTGGTGTGTAAATGTCAGCTGGGTGCTTTTTAGCTTGTGATCTGCAGTTGCAGGTGTCCATGACCTAATTGTAAGGATTTTCTGATAAATAATCACTGAAAAAGGGTGGGGGAACCAAACAAAATTGTTGTCAAAATTGTTGGAAAAGGTTAAAATCCAGTATTTGGATCTCCTGAATTACTGAAGTGGCTCATCACTAGCCTGTTTGTTTGCAGTTTGTGCTTTGGTTTCTCCTGCTTGTGTGTGTTTGTGCTTTGGTTTCCCCTGTCTTGCCTGGAGTTGGTTATTATCAGTCACTGACTACTTTCTTTTTATGTTGATTGATCCCCTCAGGTGACAAACTATTTAAATGTGAGGAGTGCGCAAAGCTGTTCAGCCGTAAAGAGAGCTTGAAGCAGCATGTTTCATACAAGCACAGCAGGAACGAAGTGAGTGGAAATGAGTAGCGGGCTCTTTCTGAGCTTAGGTGAAAATGTACAGTGAGCTTCTAGGTGCTGGCTGGGGAGCTTGGGTCAATTATATTTGAGAAGGTATCTGTGTGAATAAGTGAGACATAACTGATAGGGAGGTAACACCTGTTAGAGCAGTGGATGCGTTGGCAAAGCATGGGTATGCTTTTGAGCATACAAGTCCTTTTTTGTGTCTGAATTTCCTAAAGAAAGTCATTTTCAGGTATCAGTTACAGCAAGACAAGCTGGTGTTAGCTGGACCTGCATGATCTAGAGATGAGATCTCACTTCAGTTTATGGCACTAAATGGGATTGTTCCAGTCTTGTTTGCTTGTCCTGTTTCATTTATCCCCACCTGTAGTGTCCCTCAATGTATGAACTCTCTGGGTAAAGGCTGTGTCATTAAGGTCTATGCACACGTGTAAACCTGCAGTGCTTACAGTAGCAGCACTGTTCCTGTTGGTGAGGGCTTTTCAGTGCTGCTGCCATGTAAGTATTAAACATGGTTGCAGTGGTGCCTTATCAGTGAATATTTCCATTACTGCTTGGCATTGAGGTCCTAAGCGCTCAGATTGCTGGAATCTGTTCTGGAGCTGGAGGGTGAGTCAGATTATGTCTTGTTTCTCAAAAATCCTATCACTGTGTTTGACTGGTGCTTATCAATGAGAGTGTTACATGCACACAGCTGCATGGTCTACTCTTTGTATAGAGCTCCGATGTGGGAACGTGGCAGGATGGTACAGCATCAGAGTTTTGCTTCACTGTGTATTTAAATGTCCTGTTGAAGGAAGCAAAATAGGAAAGACGGAAAACAGAAAAAGTAGTTGAGATTTAGCATCTCTCTGTCAGATGTAAGTGGGTGTTTTTCCCACTTAAATTCTTACTGTTTGCAATCCTCAGGTTGACAGTGAGTACAGATACAAGTGCACCACATGTGAAAAGGCCTTTCGGATAGAGAGTGCATTGGAGTTCCATAACTGCAGGACAGGTAAGAATGGCTAACCATTCAGTTTCCTCTGGTCTCTCTACTCATTTTGGGGGGATGTTGACAAGTCCATGTCAGCATAGAAACTACAGAAGGGAGTAAAAATTTAGATTTTTGGCATCCTCTCAAGAAGCAACCTGCCCCCTTTCCTGCCAAAAATCCCTCATTTGTGATAAGAAAAGTGTAACCAGTAATCCATAGAGCAACGCATCCGTTTAATTTGTTGCTTTTTTTTTTAGCCTTACTGCTTTTTCATTTGTATGTTCAGATACCCTGTTACCACCTCTGTTTAATTTTCTTTCCTGAAACTATGTTTTACCTCATTTCTCTGAAATAAAGGAACTGGAAAGGAGGCTGGCACTATCGATAATGTGTAGTTATTTCTGGGGTTGCAGTTTTCTGCTTTCTCATGCTTGCTTTATACTTGCGATAGACTCTAGATGTTGGTGTGTTGTTTTTTTTTCTCAGTATCATTAGAACCTGTTCTTTTTTTCCATAGTCATCTTGTAACTTGTGGTTACAAGTTACTATGTAACTTAACATAGTGACTTAACATAGTGACTTGTGGTTACTCATTTATGCTGAGGACTGTTATGCTTAGAAAATGACATCCTGGTTACTTTTATGGACCCATGGAATCACAGAATAGTTTGGGTTGGAAAGGACCTTAAGATCATCTAGTTCTACTGCTTTTTCCTAGTAGGGGTCTCTTTACTGGTGCACCAGCAGGTTTTTCATCTGATGTGGTGTGTGTTGCCTCATTAGCCCCCTACAGAACTGCAAAGTGGCTCTGGGTGAGGACATTGGATTTTAGAGGAAGCCCCTTGCTTTTAATTGTCCTTGTCCTCCTTTTTTTTTGGTGTTTTTTTTTATCCAGCCCTTTTCATTTTCATGTCCTTCCAAGTCTTCAATTAGTTTCATATCTTCTTTAGAGTACCTAGGTTTATTTTGCTCAATTACCAGTTTACCGTCAGGAATTAAGGACATCACCTTAACTCTTTCTGTTTCTGCTTCCTGTTTAGCCTCACGATCAGCCAAATTATTTCCAGTCTCTTGATCAGAGTTACCTCTTTGGTGTCCTTTACAATGTATGATAGCCACTTCATTGGGTAATTGTACAGTTTCTAACAATCGTAGAATTTCCGTTGCATGTTTAACCTTTATCTTCCCTGGGTATTTAAAAGTCCTCATTCTTTCCAGATTGCTCCACATGCATGAACTACACCAAAGGCATATTTGGAATCAGTTCATATGTTTATCTGCTTGTTCTCTGCCAACTCCAAGGCTCTAGTCAGGGCTATTATTTCTGCCTTTTGTGCTGAGGTGTTAGAGGGTAATGGTTTAGCTTCTATTACCTTTGAAGTTATAGTTATGGCATATCCTGCTCTTCGTTTACCATCTTTAACAAAGCTGCTGCCATCAGTGAACTGGGAATCTGCACCCTCCAGAGGCTCCTCCTTCAGATCTGGTCGGCTCGAATATACTGTCTATAGTGGCCAAGAAATCGTGAGTTAACGGTTCAGTAGGGGTTTCCTGAAGGAAAGATGCTGGATTCACAACATTAGTGATCACAATTTCCACATCATCCAGTTCTACTAGGATGGCTTGATACTTCAAGAAACGTGATCATTGGCAATAGCCAGTGGGTACCTTTTTGTTCTAGGACTGTTAGATACTGCATGTGATACTAACACGGTGATCTTTTGTCCCAGTGTAAATTTTTGGGCCTCTTGGATGTTTAAGATAACTGCTGCCACTGCTCTCAAGCATCCAGAGCAGCCTTTACTTGGTTCATCCAGTTGTTTTGAAAAATAGGCCACTGCTCTTTTATAAGGTCCCAATCTTTGAGCCAAAACCCCCAAGGCAATTCCGTTTCTCATGGGAATATAGCCAAAAGTGTTTAGTTATGTCCAGCAGCCCCAGAGCTGGAGCTCTCATGAGTCCTGTCTTTAAACTTTTAAACGCTTCTTCAGCTTGATCTGTCCGTTTTAGAAAGGTTGGATTTTCTTTTAGCAGCTCATATAAGAGTCTTACCAGAACACCATAATCATGGATCCAGAGTTGACACCATTCTGTCATTCCCAGAAACGTCCAGAGATCTTTAACCGTGGATGGTCATGGTGTTTGAGAGATTGCTTCTTTCCCGAGCTGCTCCAAGTTCTGGTTGTCCTCCTGTTATTTTGCATCCTAAATAAGATACTTGAGTTTGAATTAGTTGAGCCTTCAATTTAGATACTCAGTATCCATTTAGCCCCACCCAGTAAGTTAACAATTCTACAGTCCATTGAACACATTCTCTCTCAGTTTTGGTAGCAATTAACAGGTTGTCAACATACTAAAGTTGCTGTCTGGGTGGGTGCTTCCCAGGATTCTAATTCTCATGCCAATTGATTTCCGAAAATGGTCTGACTGTTTTTAAATTCCTGAGGTAACACCATCCAAGTGAGCTGTATCTTTCTTCCTGTTTCAGGGTTTTCCCATTCGAAAGCAAATAAATTTTTACTTTCTTTGGCCAGGGGCAGACAGAAAAATGCATCCTTTAAGTCCAGAACGTAAACCACTCCTGATTAGTATTCAATTTAGTCAATAAGGTATGCAGATTAGCTGCTACTGGATGAATGTCCTCCACAATTTTGTTGATTGCTCTGAGATCTTGAACTAGTCTGTAACTTTTCCCATCGGATTTATTTAGTGACAAGATAAGAGTATTATATTCTGATTCACATTCAATTAATAATCCATATTTTAAAAAAATATTTCTTTGATTCCCTTTTGATCCTCCAATTTTAAGGGATATTGTTTTATTCTAATTAGGCAGGCCTCCCTTTTATTTCTACTTTAACAGGCAAAGCATTTTTTTTGCCTTACCTGGAACTTCAGATACCCATACTCCCAGATATACCTGAGTAAGGATTTCTTCTATTTCAGGGAGGTCCTTCTGTTTGTTTTTCTGTTGAATTAAAGATAAACTCAAAACTTCAATTAATTGATAGGTTTTGACTCTTAATTCTATTTTGCCTTCTTTAAACGTTGCTTCTTGGCCTAGTAAAGATTTTGGAGAATTTGGCATGTATAAAAATTTATGCATTCCTGTTTGTTTTCCCAATTTATTCTCTAAAGGTTTCAGAAAGAATGCTTTTTTTTTTTTTTTTCTTTTTTTTGGTGTCCAGTAGCTCCCACATGTGTAACAAATTCTTTTCCCTCTGATTTAATGCTGAATAAGTTGCTCCTATATCCAGTTAAAAATCCCACTTTATTTCCTCTAGTCCCTAGTTTTAATTTAATCAGTGGATCTGCTAGGATAGATTCCCCAGGTCCCCATCAGTCTAGTTCCAGTTCAGTCACCAGAGCCACCCCATGGCACTCCCCCCAGAGCAGTCTCACTTCCAATGTCCAAACTCCTTACAGTATGCGCATTGATCCCATCCCACAGGAGAATTCAATCTCTCACCTCTGCCTGACATTCCTCCTCTACCTCTGCCTCCTCCTCTCACGTTAGTCCCTCCACCAGTTTATACTTGTCCCAAAGCAGCCACTCAGTGCTTTCTTCTTTACCTGTTCCCGATTCCTATATGCTCCCCACGCTTCTTTCACATTCAAATCCTTCTGTTCTGTTGCTAGTGACAGCAACCTCTTCCTCCTTATCAATAACAGATGGGGCAGATGCCGAGAGTGCTCCTCTTGGAGGTACCTATGATACACAGTCACCCAACCTATCTTCCTGATTACTCTGTTTGTTTTTTTGGTTTTGTTTTTGTTGGGTTTTTTTAACTTTAAACATCATTCCCCCAATATCACAGGCTGAACAACATGTCTCCATCTTAGCTTTCTGTTTTTCCGTCCTTTTCCAAAGCCAAAATCAGGGATCTGGCAGAGCTGTATTTATTTCACATTCCGTCTGCCACTCTGGGTGGTTTCTTAAAGTGAGAAACGTATCTGCATACATCACTTCATCCCATTTTCCTTGTTGTCTTAAAAATAACATTAATTTCAACAATGTGTTCAGAGTTCCATTTTTGGGCCATTTCTCCTGATCCTCCCAGAGTATACAAGGGCCACCATTGGTTACAGTATTTCACCAACATTTTCTTAGTTACTGAGACCCCAGGAAACCCTCCCGGTTCTTTTCAATGTGCCAAAATGCACCCTAAAGGACTCTTTTTCAAGATCTCTCCACTCTGCTGATTTCCCGTTATCAATCTCGCATTCACACACACACGGGATCCTGCAGACAGACTCCACACAGTTACAACACTTGAGACAGAGACTAAAATTGTATCAAACAAACAACAATTAACACTTATAATAGTCTGTAACCAAGACCAAAATCACAAGACCAAAATCATCACTATAACAAGCCACAAAATAGTCACACTCCACACGGTTACACCACTTGAAACAGAGACAATTAGTAATGCAGTTATAACAGTCTGTCACCAATACTAAAATCAGAAGACCAAAATCATAACTATAACACACCACAATGTAAGTCAAATACCAGTAAAATCCAAAACTGTTTCTACAGGATGCCCACTGTGTCTTGCAGGACCCAGACCATAAGATGCCCCCTGCTTCTTGTGGGTGTATACCAAACGGATGCTAGCAGCTGGGTATACACCTTTACCCATGAGATTTCCTATCTCGATTTACAGAAGGCTTCCAAACCATGCGTACGCTTACCAAACCAATTTACCAAAACGAGATGCCCCCTGCATCTTTACAGACTATACAAAAGAAAAGAATACCTTTTATGAGATGGTCCTTGTCTGCTCCCGCAGTGATCCGAATCTGAGCCGAGCTGAGGGGTTCCTCCGGGAAAAACTCCCGAGGGCCCTAGGGAGCCCTGTCCTCAGCAGGTCCTGCAGCCGAGCAGAGAGGGTCCCATCTGGGGTGCCAGATTGATTCGGAGAAAACTCCCAGAACAAACTCGCCAGCAGAGTTTCAAGTTGACAAGCAGGTATTCTTTATTGCAGCACTGGGAGACACGAGGATCGCTCCTCCAAGCATGTCTCTCCCAAGTGTCAACCAGGCTGTGATTATATTGTCCTTAACATACATATTCATTAGATTACATACATGACATCATACTTTTTAGAGAATGCCTCCTGTATGCATACAAAAATGTGGTAGTGGGCTTTCGGACCCCTGGTGGTTATTTCTTCATCACTTTGTTTTAGGATCGTTGTCATATCAGTAACCACCAGGTGTTTCTGGCAAAGCTTATTTTAGTAATTTCCTTTTCTCTATAGTTGCTAACAAAGCCTAATGTTTTTGAGGTTACTTATTTACAACCCTTCAATCAACCCCATTCTTCAGTTTGGTTTTTTTTTTGTTGTTGTTGTTTGTTTGGGTTTTTTTGTTTAGTTTTGGTTTGTGGGTGGGGTTTTTTTGTTGGTTTGTTTTTTTTTTGTAACTAGCTGCCAGCTCCCTGTATTACCGCCCTCCTCCTTTTCTGTATGCTCTGTGGTGGACGCCTGTGGCCCCTGTACAGCTCAGGCCTGGAGCAAGCAGCCCAGCTCTCTCAGCTTCCCTGACACCTTTCAGCTACCGCCAGCGTCCCGCAGCTCAGCCCCTGCTGCAGGAGGGCCTCCACCAGGGCACCGAGTGCAGCCCTGCCCATGGCGCACCCTCTCCTCACGACTCCGGTGCAGGCGCTCTCTGCACCCCGAGCTCCGCGCTGCAGCCCCCCCTCTCATCGGCTCTGTCTGGTGCCGACGCCGCCACCGCGGGGGCAGCCGGAGCAGAGCTCCCAGAGCGGGCCCTGGCCCTGAGGCGAGCGCTCCCCATCCCTCCCGCTGCCCGCTCGCGCTGCCGACGCCAACCGCCGCGCCACGCGCCGCTCCCGCGCCCCCTGTGAGTCCCTGCTCGCCTCAGCGGAGCTGCGGCTCCCGGGCAAGGCCTGGAGAGGGCTCGAGGCTCCCTCGGTCGCCGTCGCCGCTCGGAACTGAGGCTCCGGGACGCGGGGTTTCTCCTCGCTCTGTCAGACTAGAATCACCTGGGTAATTGCCCTTTACATCACCAAAGTAGGATTTCTCATTGTCTTTCAGAGGGTACAGCTTATATGAAACTCAGGTTTATGAAGAATGGAGAGTAATGCCAAGTAACCTCAGTATTCTGTTTATTCAAGGGCAGCAGCTCATTTCATCTTGTGAGTTGACCGCAACAAGCAGCAGTATTTGCTCTTCAAGGCGTTCAGCTGTTACTTTGTGGTTGGTGCAGCACTGGCAGATTCCATCTGCCGGACCATACTTTTGTGTTCCAAGAAAAGTCTCAACTACTGAATAAAAACAAATTCCCCATAGGCCTATTGTCATATGATGGCCTATTTTTGAGATCTTTTACCTTCTGGAACATTCTGTACTGGCTGGTATTAGGAGCCAGTGCTGGCAGGCAGCTTCTGGTAATTAGGTAAGAAGGATTCTGGTGCTTAGGCACAGCTGCTCATGTGATGTTGTGTTGTTGTATATGTAGTATACATATATGTCTATGTAGTGATGTTACCAACATCAAAAACTTGAACCAGCTGTAACAGAATCTACTCCAAATAATTTTAATGTACACTGGGCCAAAATGGAGTGAGGCCTTGTAAGGAAGTTACAGTGCTAGATTCCGTGTTCATATTAACGTCATACATACTTACTGCCTTTTAAAAAATCTTTAAAGTAAAAGAAGAATACATGCTTTTGCTTTTACCTCCTCAATCCATATAAAGATGGATTACATTTTAAAATTCAGATCTAACAGAAGAACTACCGAAGCGACTAACGAAAGTATCTGTTTTCGTCTGTAAATAACTGCATGGTTTCTCTTGCTTACAGATGACAAGACATTCCAGTGCGAGATGTGTTTCAGATTCTTTTCTACAAACAGTAATCTCTCAAAACACAAGAAAAAGCATGGAGATAAGAAGTTTGCTTGTGAAATCTGCAATAAGATGTTTTACCGGAAGGATGTCATGCTAGACCATCAAAGACGACACTTAGAAGGTAAGTATACTACAGATCAATCTAATTATTCCTCTTGAAACAGCAGTAGAGGTGGGAAGGTAAAGGAATTGATTGTGTCTTTTTTTTTTGTCAGTTGCCTGATCTTGAATAGCAGGATTCAGCAAAATGTGACATTTATTAAAAATAATAGTAACAGTTGTCTAATTCTATGAAAAACTTTCCAGTTTTTCATAGGCACCAAAGGCTTTTTTTTCAGTCTCACATGATTGAAGCCGGTGCTACTAACAATTGTGTGAAAGCTGGTTGTCTTATTCTGCAGTAGTTTAGAGTAGTTGATTGTAATTATATCATTTTCTTTCTTTGAATTCTATTCTTTTAAAAAAAAGAATTGTGGTAACTTGAAAATTTGAAGGCAGGGAATTAACTTGCAATGTAAAACTGAAAGTTATTATTGTATAAATATAGTATAAAGGGAATGCTGTGTGATGTTATCTTTCAAATTCTTGAGAATATATGAAAGTGAGACTAGAAGAGTTTACTGTTCAAAATCTCAAACACCTAAGGTTGATACAGGTACGCAGACCCTGGAAAAACTTGCGTGATGATAAATTGCCAAAGCATTAAAATGCCTCTAGCAATCTAGATGATAAAAACAAATGTGATTTAAGAAAAGCATCCAGATTGTCTAATTTGGTGCTGTAGGAGTAGCCAACCACACTCCTGTGATTCACACCTTTGTGTCATGAGCTGGAGGACAGCTAGACCAATGGCTTGAATGGCACTGGCAAGGCATCTCATGTTTAAGTGTCACCAGAACAGCAGCAGCTCTCTTCTTCCCTGAAAGCAGCAGAGAAAGAGGTGTGAAATCCTCATGGAGCATAAGGCAGTGCAGGATGATTGCTTCTCTCCTTGGAGGCTGTGAGGGGGAATTTCTGGGCCAGATACCTGATTGAAGTGTCAAGGTCTACTAGATGTGCCTGTTTCCATGTGCTGACAATAACTGTTTTCAGATGCTTTCTAATGTAAAAACCATTAAGCCATAATACATCACTTTGGTTGACTGTTTTTATATTCTTAAGACATCATTTTAATTTAGAAGTTATGCTTTTGTTAGCAATTAAATTCTGCATTGAGGCTCTTTCCAGTGTTTCACTCTTCTTTACAGTATTCACCTGAAAGGGCATGCAGATTGGAGTGGAAAAACATGGTTTATTTGTGCTTTTGTTAGCAATTAAATTCTGCATTGAGGCTCTTTCCAGTGTTTCACTCTTCTTTACAGTATTCACCTGAAAGGGCATGCAGATTGGAGTGGAAAAACATGGTTTATTTGTTTTGTTTTGTTTTTTTTTGATGGGGACTGTTCTGTTAAGGGGTGAGGCGTGTGAAAAGAGAAGACTTTGAGCACAACACGGAAAACATGGTTCGCTACAAGAAGGAGCCTTCGGGATGCCCTGTGTGTGGGAAGGTAGGTATCTTTGCCAGCGTGCACCATGCAAACCTCTGCATTGTAGCTCCAAGGATACTGCAGGAGTAGGGTGTGCCTCAACCCAGCACCTTCAAATGAGTTACTGTGGCATAACAAGTTATCACTTGTGTATTAAACCACAGTAGCAGCCTACCTGGATAGTCACACAGTCTGCCAAAAAGTTGAGGTGAATGACTTGCACTAAGGTATGTGCCAAGTCAGATTACCTCACAACTCAGACAGGCACAAGGTTAATGTGAGTAGTAACTCACACTAAGTAACTCACACTTAGTAACCAGTGAGTTACCATGTCATCCAGCTAAGACATTACTCTTCAAACTGCCTTAGCCCCATTATATATCCAAGCCCACTATGGCCGTGGGTTGTGGGAGCTGGTAGGACAAAGAGAAGAGCAAAACTGAAGTTCAGACTCGACTGGTTTTCAGGACGCGTAGCGCAATGTCGAGTGTAATATGGTCTCTGTGTCTGCCAGTGAAATGTCATGGCTTACGTCATGTGAGTGAAGTTTTCCTGCTGGAATATAAGCAGCTGGAGCTAACTGTGCACTGCAAACACTTTTCTATTAGAAATCAAAGTGAATTCATGGTGTGGCCGTGGCACTGTTGTATTTGAGTGTTTAACACTCAAGTTCTTAAGTTGCTGTTATCACAGGTACAAAGACTGTGAATTTAACTAATGATTTTGTAGTGCAAGATGTACTCAAGCAACTCAAGCTGGTGTGTAGACCTTTCATTTTGATGCTTTGGATATGTTACATATCAGTGAAGGTAGATTCAATGGATGTCTTTTAGATAAGTGGAACATCAGTGACTCAAAAGACACTGGCTAAATATTTCTAAATCTACCCTATGTAATTCTGGTGCCGCTTTTTTGGAAGTCTGCTTCTGATGAATAGCCAATTTCAGCCAGCTCCTTGGTACTGTAAACCTTTATTTTGCTGTGCCAGCAGCTTCTGAGGTAGTCTACATGTTTCTGGCCAGAGGGAATGAAACAGGACAGTAATCGTGTTCTGTGCTATCCATTGAATAACTTGAAAAGAACTGCAGCCCTGCAGGAAAGGATACAACCCCTTTTCCTTCCGCCTTCTCTTTTAGGTATTTTCATGTAGAAGCAATATGAACAAACACCTGTTAACACATGGAGACAAGAAATACACTTGTGAAATCTGCGGACGTAAATTTTTCAGGGTGGATGTGTTGAGAGATCACATTCACGTCCATTTTAAGGTATTGTGTTAATTTATTCAAAAAAGATATGTTATTTAACAGGCACTTGGACATATCAATAAATACACTGAGACTGTTATTGTCACGTGTTCATAGTGGCAACATAACAGTGATTACATACCCCATGCAGTGATGTTTCTACAGCAGGCTCACCAGTTGTGCTCTGATTTACCCATGGCTCTTTTGCTACATCTGAATTGCTACAGAGTTTGTAGACTTTCACATTTTAACTTATTTCAGCTGTCACTGCAGAGCACTTTTCTGCATGCTGTGGGAAAACCACCTCTGTGATCTTTTGTGAATCACAGCGGTTGTTTAGTTTAATGTGAGGAGAATAATTTATCAGTTAGGCTGCAGACAGATGTTCTAGTTGTAGTTTGGTTGGGCTGAGGGTTACTGTCATGCCCTGTCTTTGTAGGGAAAAAACAAACGAGAATTAATTGTTCCTGCCCTTTCCATGCCAGTGATTGTGATTCTCTTGTATATGCTAGCATAACTGCCTATGTATCAAGTTTCTTACCTGGTTTTATCAAAGTATTCTAAATCACAAAAATACCCTTATTAATAGTGCTTAATCAAACCTAGATAATTTTAATGTCCCTAGGTTAGCACTGAGTTGTAAGGAATTTAATTAAAAGGGAATTGTATTACTTGGTGGTGCTCATAAAAGATGCTTTTATGGATGTAACACTGTACCAGTTCAGTCTCTGCTTACATTAAAGTTCACAGAATCACAGAATGGTTGAGGCTGGAAGGGACCACCAGAGGTCATCTAGGCCAACCTCCCTGCTAAAGCAGGGTCACCTAGAGCACATAGATACACAGGAATTGTGTCTAGATGGATCTTGAGTATCTCCAGGGAAGGAGACTCCACAACCTTTCTGGACAACCTGTTACAATGCCCAGTTTGTACACAAAAAATAGAGTATTATTTATTTGGATAAACAGTTTCTCCTTGTTTAGTCATGGAGGACAGCGAAACTTTGTTTATCTGAATTGAAGCGAAACTTTGTTTATCTGAATTGAATGAGTCAGGAGGGTATTTTAAATAAATAATATTACAGCAATTGCTAGTGCTGCATGGCAACAAAACTTACTAGGCGTTACCTTTTGAAATAGAAGTTTAATCCATTAAAACATAATATTCTTTCCTGCCCTACACAGGACATAGCATTAATGGATGATCACCAGAGAGAAGAGTTTATTGGTAAAATTGGAATCTCATCAGAGGAAAATGATGACAACTCTGATGAAAGTGCAGATTCTGAGCCTCACAAGTATAGCTGCAAAAGGTGCCAGGTAGCTTTAAATACTTTCAAATTAACTTGGTTTTGGATGGGGGGAGGGAGTAGAGGTGTCCATAAATCATTCAGAATTTTAAGTAACATTAAGGGTTCACAAACAGAAGGCCAGTCCACGTGTCTGCTCTCTTCTGCTGTGCTTGTTACCTCTAATCCGTGAAGTTGATGCTCTAGCATAATACTTGAGGTGGTATTTTGTAAGGTGAATGCTGAATTGAGAAATGCAAATACAGACATTTATCTGTGTGGAAGGAAGCAAGCAAAACTGGAGAAAGAAAGGAACATTCAGATCTTACACTATCCTTTAATTATATGCAAATTAAAATAGTTACAGCATTTCTGAATTATACAGTCCACAAACTGATTAACTTTGATGAGATCAGGCGGTCCTCGAGTGGATATCTAATTTGGAGGATTAAGACTGCTGCTTATGTTAAGTGTCACTGGTTATTCACGGCTTACTTTCATTACTAACAGGGTGATATTAGAAGTACTGCTGGAACATACTTTACTCAGCCGTCAGCTGAGAGAGGAAGACTTTTTAAACCTCATACTGCATGGCTTTTGCCATTTTGGAAAGTAGTAATGGGGAAAAATGGAGTCCTTAAGGCCCATTTGGAGTCTGTGCCCTTAGTGGGCAAGCCCACTGTGCTGGGGCAGGGGGAATACAATAGCAACCACTGAGAACAGCAAAACTAGCCAAACTGACATAGGGACAGCAGAATTTTGGTATTTAAACCAGTAACTTGGCCCCTTGAAATTAAGAGCTTATTTCACAGTCTACACTTAATGTTGTGAAAGTGTTCAACTTACCTTCATTTTAAAGACATGAAGATAATAATACTTGAGTTTTCTGTTCCTATACGTGAACTGGTTTTAAGTGCAAACTGATTTTAAGCTTATGTCACTGGGCATAAGAAGATGGGTATCACAGAAGTTAATTACGTGCTTGCTTTCAATGTGTTGATTTAATGCCTGTCACTTAATGGGTCCTTAAACTGTATGAAATTGTATGCTTCCAAATGAGGGCAATTGTGCCATTCAGATGACAAAGCTCTTTTTGGAACTGGGTCTTTTAGCACATTTGCAGGTGTTTGTGAAGCAAACAGTTGTGTAAGGCAGCAGCTGTGGAAAATGAATATTAGCTGTAATGAGACAGGGAGTCTCTTTTTGGCTGAAAATATCTGTTCACGCATCTCTAAAGGAGAACAACATATGGATGAGTCTTAGTAAAATATCTCTTCTGAGCTTTTTAAGACTCTCTGTCTTTATTTTTTTTCTCATCCCAAAATATACTGTCACTAAGCTGTGCAGCACTGTCAGAAATAGCCTGACTAGTTCTAAAATCAGAGCAAAAGATCGTGCCATTATGGCCCTTTCTCCTGAGATGTTGGAGCATATATGCATACGCAGGGTTACTTAGCCCAGGGAGCCGAGTAGTGGAGCACCTATCTGTTGTAGTTGTAGCTCTTCCAGGAGCTGAGCTACAATCACTGCCTGCAGTGCCTAGAAATACCAACTCTTCTGGAGCTAGTGCCATTGCTTACTATGCAGAGTAGATGCCCCTGCCATGCCCTTAGAGCCTAAAAGACATTTTTCCCATCTGTGGCATCCTTGCTTTGACAGCTGGTAGAGATTGGACATGGCTCTCTCCAAGGCTGTTCCTTAGTGCACAAGTAATTGGAGGTCTTCTATTTGTGCAGCATAGGAAGCAGAGATACCATCTCAGACTAGTTTTCCAAATGGGTTAACTAATGTGCTGTAGCAGTGTGCTTGTAATGGCCAAAGGGGTTCAAGCCTAAATCCAGCTTTCACAGATTTTTCATCTAGTGATACACAGGGTATTTGTCTCCTAGCTCTGACTCTAGATCTCATAATGTGTTGCTAGATTGTTGCTGTTCCAAAGAACATTTTTCCCCTTTCATTCACTATTGGTTCATTCTGCAGTTGACCTTCGGCAGAGGGAAGGAGTATCTGAAGCACATCATGGACGTGCACAAGGAGAAAGGCTATGGCTGTAGCATTTGCAATCGACGTTTTGCCTTGAAGGCAACTTACCATGCACACATGGTCATTCATCGGGAAAACCTGCCTGATCCTAATGTGCAGAAGTAAGATGATGTGTTGGACTGATAAGTGAAGCTATCTTTCTGAAGTTACAGTGGCTCTGCCACCTGATGCTTGTAGAGAATTGGGCTGTACTAAAATACCTGAAACTGTATAATGGGTGTTAAAATGCTTACTAAAAGCTTTAAATATATATCACTAATGGTTCACGTCAAACGGATGCTTAGTTAATGGCCTTCCAGTTTGGGCTTCCTAAAGTCTAAACCTATGATTTTGGCGAATACTTTCTAAAGAGTATCATTTGAAGATTTAGCAGTGCCTGACTGCTCCAGGCTTGCAGTGAACTTACGGGTTTCCTAAGCCTCATTTTTAAAAAAAAAATTATGTTTCAAGGAACTTTTGTAGGAATAAATATTATTAAATTACATGCAGTTACTAACAGAAATGCCTGAAAACCACCTCTATCTCAAGAAAAGAATCATGGTTTCTGGTGTCTGTTTTCAGATACATCCATCCATGTGAAATCTGTGGAAGGATCTTTAACAGTATAGGAAATCTGGAAAGACATAAGCTTATACATACAGGTAAAGATGTTGTGTTTCTTTATTATTATCAGTATTAAAAAGAACTTTCTGTTGCCAGTGCCTGCCTTATGTTTTTCAGGAGGAAGCAAGTTACATGTTTTTACTGTAAGTTAAGATAAATGTTATATTTGTGCTTTTTTCTAAAGCAGGTAGTATTAATGAAGGTATTTGGTCTAGGCACACAATCCAGGTTCCTCATTACTAATATGCAGGATTCACCTGCTACAAACCCTAATTCTGAATTCTATTCTTCCCAAACTCCTATCCATGCTACCTTCTCACATTACATAGGCTGAAAACTGCTATTGCAAAATCATTTTTTACAGCTCATTATTATTTCATGCTATTCAGTATGTTCCTACTCCAGGCTTTATCTTTTCATTTGTTTGTTTTAAGATTTCACACAAAAAGCCAGTTTTTCTCTCTCTCCCTCCAAAGTGTTTTGGTTTAGTTTGGGCTACAATATGCATGAAAGATGTGGTTGACAGCACAGGTGGACTGTTGCCCTCTAATTCACCAGATTAGTCAGATTTTAGGAGATGCACATTTTTCATTAACATTTTTTTTGTTTATGTTGTCTTTCAAATTTATTTTAAAGGTGTAAAAAGTCATGCTTGTGAGCAATGTGGCAAATCATTTGCTAGAAAAGACATGTTAAAAGAACATATGCGAGTCCATGATAATATCCGAGAATACTTGTGTGCAGAATGTGGCAAAGGTATGTCTAATGCCTCATTTTCCATTAATTGTGATACTGAATAGCAGGTGAATATCTGAATTAAACTTCCATTCTTAGAATATTGGGAAGGTCCTTGGACTCTGTAAATCCTGCAGATTTGAGAGGTAGAATCTGTATTAATCAAAAGCCTTATGGTTGCATAAACTGTCCCTAATTTTATACAATTCAGTTTCATGGCCTGCAAGCCAAAATTGATTTTGATAAAATTTGCTTCTGTCAGGTGGAGGAGCCCTTGCCTGACTGAGTTCCAATACATTTGCAGCAGAAAAGTGAATACAAGTTAATTTTTCCATTCTAGGTTGTTTTCAGGCTTAAGAAATAGAGTAATTTCTCTCTGTAAGAGCTTAAAGAGTCAAGGTTGCTTTGACTTTTCAAATTGTTCGCGTTACAACTTGAACAAATCTGAACTGGTATTTTAGTGGCAGGCAGTAAGTCTGACATCTCTAATGGTGTCTTGTCTTTGCTTGTCCCTGCTGTTTTGCTTCTTCCTCAGTGGTTACTTAGATGTTTTCCAGAGCTTTCTTCCTGGAATTAAAATAATGATGATAATGTACATTGCTACCTAAACAATTAAAAATATGCAGTTGTGGACACACAGCAAATTCAATCTTAGAGCTTTTGGTTAACAACATGTTCATACCAAGTTCTCCTTTAAGGTGGGAGCAATGGACTAATTGTCACGCTGTACCCTTTGTCTCACAGGAATGAAGACGAAACATGCACTTCGTCACCACATGAAACTTCACAAAGGGATTAAAGAATATGAATGCAAGGAATGTCACCGAAAATTTGCACAGAAAGTCAACATGTTGAAGCATTACAAAAGACACACAGGTGAGGTCTCTAAAGATGTACAGAAGTTGCACTGAATCAGTTAAATCCTTCCTGAAAGAACTCTTAATGTAGAATGGTCTGGGAGTAAGAGGAAAACTAATAAAAAATATGCATATTCTGCTTTTTGAAAAGTGAGATTTTGACCTTTTGTCAGCCAAGACCACCTGATATGCAATGAAAATACATAGCTTAGATGGGTTTGTGTTTTGCTTTTGTAAGAGAGGTTGCTTTAGTCCAGGATAGGTCTAGAGTGTTTGATTTGTTTTAGGTTAGTCTTCAGGTTCTCTTTTCCTGAAAATGAAAACAAAATTTTACTTCCCGTATCAGTTTCCTTTGGATTCATTTTCTGACAGATATGGTGGCATGGCTTAGATAAAAATAGCTGGTGAAGCTGCACTGGTGCTTCTTATTTGGCTGTTATTTCTTTAGTATTTTTTTAGTAATATGAAATTTGGAATTGTCCCAGATACCTTAAACTGTTTTCACTCTGAATGCTAAATGTGCTCTTCATGCAGGAATCAAAGATTTCATGTGTGAGCTTTGTGGCAAGACGTTTAGTGAAAGAAATACAATGGAGACTCATAAGTTGATTCATACAGGTAAACCCTCTTCCAAATAGTATCCAAAGACAGTATCTTAATTTTGTTCCTAGGCTTGCTGTAGATTTGCCAGTCTTGGAACTAGTGTTACACAGCATGTTACCAACATAAAATTGTTCTTGTTGTGATGCTGACAATACAATCCTCATCTTTGGGGGCTGTTGATAACAGCGTTTCCCTCCATCTGCCACCAGTAGGAAAACAGTGGACATGTTCAGTCTGTGATAAGAAATATGTCACTGATTACATGCTGCAGAAGCACATCCAGCTTACTCATGATAAGGTAGAAGCCCAGAGCTGTCAGCTGTGTGGGACAAAGGTTTCTACCAGAGCGTCCATGAGTCGACATATGAGGCGTAAACATCCAGAGGTGAGTTAGTTTGGCATTTTAGCAAGTGTCTGTTAAGCATGCACTTAACTGAATCAGCCCTTTCATTATGTTATGTTTCAGTAGTAAACATATCAATTGTCAGCCCCTAAAGTTGAAGTTGTTCTGATTATTTAAATCCCTTTTCTTTTGCTGCCCCAGCTTAAATGTATATTTTTTCCTGTTTTGTCTTCATCCCTTAGTGAGTATAATTGAGTCTTTTTTCCCCATTGTGTTCTCTGTATTCAGAAGTGCTCTGAAAGAGGTGGTGAATAGAGACATGATGGCAGCATCTGCTGATGGTACAAAATAATTCTTAGTATTAAAGATGAATGCTGACTGCAGAGAATCTGGATTAGAGGCATGTTTTGTCTAACCGAAAGGGGTTCTTTTCTGTGTTTTAAATTTCTGAATAGCTATTGTGTTTCTCCTCAGCATTTCTTGATTAGGTTGACTGAGGCTTGTCTATTCCCTTTGAGGCTTTTTTTTTCTATCATTAGTATTGCTTTGCCATGAACATTTTATTATCATGATGACTGGGGAAGAAGTTAACAGAAAGCTTGCTTTATTCATTTTTTGATTAAAAATGCAGCTATATATCTGCAATGCAGAGGGCAATATTTTTCAGTTCTTTGATAAGCTGGGATTTGTAGATTCAGCTGCAAATAATGGAGTAGGACACAGTTGATAGGTTTATAAATAGAAATGCTAAAATAATATTTTTTCAAACACATTGTTTTCTGTAGAATTTATCACTTGTGTTCTATCTAGACTATAAAAATCAACATATTTTTCTACTGTCGTCTTTAAACTTTGCTGTTTTTCAGCAAGAAGGAAAATATTAGATGCCAAAAGGTTATCTTTTTTAAAACCATGGTTAATGTGCTTGTATTAAATGATATGTGTAACATGTTAGATTGCATCGTTTTTGCTTTGTGACAGGATTTATTAGGGCACTGCTTTATTGTTTGACTGTTGAACATTGTTGAACTGCTGCAGTTAACCAGCAGATACCCCTTTGCCTACAGATTCTGTCAGTGAGGATTGATGATTTAGAGCAGCTGCCAGAGACTACTACCATTGATGCTTCCTCAATTGGGATTGTTCAGGTAAATTCCTTATTGCAGAATTCTGGCGGCAGCTAGGTTCCTGGCCTACTGAAGGGTGAAGTGGGGACATTACTTTTTTGGTACATAACATAGCTGGGCACAGGCTGATGGACAAGAAATGTGCTTTTTTAGAGAGTCAGCCCCAGCTTAACATGTATAAGCAGATGCAAGCTGTTATCTGTTTCATTGGTTAACATGGGTGCTGTTAAAACGTGTTTTTCTAGCCAGAGTTAGCCTTGGAACAGGGAGAATTACCAGAAGGAAAACAGCATATAAAAGCTCCTAAACGTGGTCAGAAACGAAAACAAAAGTCAGGTGAGGAAGAGGAAGCTCAAGTGCCTGAAGACCCTGCCTTCAGTCAATACACAGAGAAGGAAGGTGAATTCACAGGGAATGTTGGAGATGAGACTAATTCAGCTGTCCAGAGCATCCAGCAGGTGAGCTCCAGTAGCAATGTGATGGGTAGCAGCCCTGCTTAGAGGGATAGCCCTTCTTTTCTCCTGATAGCAAACAGAAAAAAGTGATGGGAACATCTAGAGCTAATAAGATAAATTGTGGTAATATGAAGGTGAACATGGACTTTTAAAAAACAAGGAGTTGGACCATTAAGCTCCTTATGTTTGTTTTTATTTATTTTGGTGTTACCATCTCCTTGTTTGCCGGAGCACTTACTGAGTGAACCTGTGACTGAAAGTGTGAAAGTTAATTTGGCTGCTTGTTTTGAATATTGTAAATGCCTCCCTCCCATTATGTTCTTATTTCTCTGTGGAAGTTGTTATATTCCGAGCTTTCTATGTTCCCCTCTGTGTATGACATCTCTTGCTGGCAGTAGCAATCTGAGCCCACAAGCACTCAGGTGATCTTTCTTCATGCTTGATATATGGTGGTCAGCTGCAAGATACAAGGCTGAGTTACCTTTCTGTTTTTCCTCAGGTGGTGGTGACCCTTGGTGACCCAAGTGTCACAGCTCCTTCCAGTTCTGTTGGGATGACAAATATCACTGTTACCCCCATTACAACGGCAGCTGGAACCCAGTTCACAAACCTCCAGCCCGTGGCTGTGGGCCATCTGACAGCTCCTGAACGCCAGCTACAGCTGGACAACTCAATCCTCACTGTGACGTTTGACACTGTCAGTGGTTCTGCCATGCTGCACAACCGCCAAAATGACATTCAGATCCAGCCACAGCCAGAGGCAGCTAATCCTCAGTCTGTGGCCCATTTTATAAACCTGACCACCTTGGTGAACTCCATTGCTCCTCTAGGGAACCAGATAACAGAACAACATCCTCTGACATGGAGGTCAGTGCCTCAGACTGATGTCTTGCAGCCCCAGGCACAGCCAGCGCAACAACAGTCAGGACAGCAACAGGTTCAAACAGAGCAACAACAACAGATGTATAGCTACTAATTTATACTTCGACAAATTTTGAAATGGACAGTACTCAGAGACAAAAACACACAGACGTTTGGAAAATTTCTAATAGGATTGTTTGCTGGATACCAAACAGAGATGGGCAGATACAATGAAATGTAAGCTAAAATTGGCATAGCACCCTGCAACACCCTAACCATGAGATTCTCACACTGTCTCTAGACCTTGCACTGTCTTAAAAAAAAAAAAAAAGAAAAATTAAACAAATCTCACCATAAATTTAGCACCTCCTTGCGCTGTGTATTTTATGCAGTAAGACTGAGATTTGACAAAAGCATCATAACACATCTTAACCAAAGCAGGGAGATCCTAAATATCATGGCATTGGTGATTTAAAAAACCCTTTCAGCCATACCATGTCTCTTCGTTCCAGTCTGGAAATTACATCTGACAACCTTTTTCACAGTGAGGTGGAATGCATTTGTGGTCAGCTGGTGGAGACTGAAATGTAAAGACACAAATGGGCACCAGAATAATTGTCTTGTTTTTTATCTTCTTTAGGTCTTGTATCTAACAACATTGATAAAGTAGGTGGAGGTTGGGGCTTCGGGGAAGTGAGTGTGGTGTGGAAGAAAATATACCAATTTCACAAAGTATTTCCATTTTAGTCATGGTAAAATCCCTGTACCCATAACACAGTGTTAGTGCTACTTTAATCAGATAGCTGGTCTAATGGTAAAGCAACTTTTATGGTCTTTAGTCAAGTTTGAATCAAACCAAATATGAACTGAAAAAAGAATGTGATACAGTTTTATGTAATTTTTTGAAGAGCTCTTTCAGTCTTGCTTTTAGCTACTAGGCCTGAAGAGCCAGCAGTCCCCTTTGATCAAGTTCAGGATGTGAATTTTTCATCAAATATTATTCTTTCATCACGTAATAAACATTTGAGAAAGCATTCTTTTTATATATATATATATACATACATATATATATATAGCCTTTGTACTGTACTGTGCATTCCTGGTGAGTATTTGAGTGAAAAGCACTGATATCAATATGATTAATTTTTTTTTCATCCCCATATTGCCCTTTCTCACAGAAATAATGTACGGGTTCTATTCCTTTTCCAAAACTGATTTACAAAATTTATAGTCACGCACAAGGTTGCATGAAACGCAGGAACAAAGAATGTCTGAAGCATATGCTGCCACACGGAGGCAGCATGCCCTAGTATATAATGGGCAAAGTTTGCATGACTGGGATAAAAATAGTGGGTTGGGTCAAATGCATTGTTGCTGATACACTTTCATTCCATTCTCCATATATTGATGTGCAGTGTGGACTTTTGCATGTCAAGAAGATAGTATCTTTCCCACAGAGAAAAAGCAGCTGATATCAAAAAGGAATTAACTAAAAAAAAACCAAAAAATAAACCCATAAAAAATGTTGCTGCCTGGAATCCTGAAAGGCAAATCTGTACTTCCAGCTGTAGCTGAAGAACAAGGTGCTTTGGGGCAGCAGACTGAGCCACAGAACCATGCTAAAGGTTTTTGCTGAGGATAAAGCAGCTGCTGTGTTTGACACTGAAGATAGATTGATGGTTATAAAAATCCTGTCTGTGCCTATTGTATTTATGAAACTGTTCTATGTATTAGCAAAAAATATGAGTAGGAATGACTTCAGCTTTGAAGGTCTGTATTAACATGGACTACTTGACCCCAGAAGGATGCCTTATAATTGCTACAACAAACTCTTCCAAAGTATAAATGTTAATTGAAATTAATCTGCAGTGGTTTTCTTGGTGCCATAGCAGTGTCCAGATGCTCACCATGCTAGGCTCTGTGTAGAGTTTAGTTGTGTCAGAACGTGTAGGAAGGGGATTTTTGGAGACAGGTTTGTGTGTCAGGAACAGAATTACTTGTAGGTAAATGTCAGTAAGTCTGTAAAATGTCTGCATGGCAGGGACCTATATTTGATGGGACAAGGATGCATATCTGAAAGAAAATAGCTTTTACCAGTGTGGGAAAAAGAATTTTTCATTCCATGGCCCCTTCTCTCTTTCGCAGATCCTTTTCAGACAAATTGTGAGATCCTGTAATTTTATTGGCATCCCAACATCCTGATAAATATGGGTTTATGCCCCTCTATTACCAGGATTATTTTGTTGCTGGCTTGAGCCAGTTAAGTTTCTCATCAGCTGTCCTGTCCACAAATGTCCCTTCACACCAAACCCACTGGTTAAGAGGAAGCTAGGGTTTATTTTTGAAATACGTTGTATATGTTCTTGAAAGTACTTGAAACTTCCCCCCCTTCATCCCTGATCACTGTGTTTGTAAAGGCACATAATCTTTTGGCAGGGTACTTTAGAAGGGTAAAAAAAAAAAAAAGGGAGATCAAATAGGTCCTAGGTCAAGTTGTTATGGTAAATAAAAGATGGATAACATCTAAAACCATACATTTATATATGTACACATACGCATGGAGGGTTACGGTTCTGCATATAGTTTCTAAAAGATCAGGGTTTTGTTCAGACATATGTAAATGGTGATTAAGCTTTTCAGGAAGGAGAGGTTTCTTGCTTTAGCTGCAGAGTGAGTACATCTGCTCTGTGTTAGCACTAGTGATAGTAGTATTCATGATGCATTGAATCAACCTGAGTCATTTTACTGTGTAATTGCCTATTTGATAAGAATTGCACATGGAGGTAATCGGCCATTATAGAGTCCTCTCTGACTTCACAAAACCTCTTCATCCTAATGTGATTCTCTGGTATTCAGTACTCTTAGGCTTCCTCATGTGTGATTCATCCCTCCCATGTGAATCCCATTTAGGCAAGTCAGCATCTTACTCTTTGGGTAATGATTGGTTCTAGTGGATTTCAAAAGGAATGATCACACAGATGCTGGTTGTGACTGTGGTGGTGGGCACACAAAGAAGAAATGTCTCTCTTCAGTCTCCCAGTATCCCCAAGTTCATAGAACCACAGACTAGCCCAGGCTGGAAGGGACCTCGAAAGATCATCTGGTCCATCCTTCTCTGGGAAAGGGAGCCTAGGTGAAGTTACCTAGCACCCTGTCCAGTCGCATCAACTCTACTATGTCGTAGAATCATAGACTAGTTTGGGTTGGAAGGGACCTTCAAAGGTCCCTCCCCTCCCTGCAATGATCAGGTTGCTGAGAACCACATCCAGCCTGGCCTTGAATGCCTCCAGGGATGGCACATCTACCATGTTCCTGGGGAGGTAGTTCCAGTGGGTGACTGTTCTTACTATAAATATTATCCTAAATAATGTTCTGCTTTAGAAGGGGAAACTATAACCACTGGAAGGGCTTTGTCTAGGCCGGGCAATGGAGAGGTTTCTAAAAGCTAATCTTCCCAAAGCACTCCTTTCTGAAATGATCTTGACTTTCCGTGCAACCATTGCTATGGTACCTCATCGTCTCTTGGTGTGATTTTATTGTTACTGCTGTTATTAACATCCCTGTGAGAACACAACTGTATCTTGGATGTGCTGCAACATGAAAAACTTGAAAACGTTTGGTTTGATTTTTGTTTCAAACAAATTTTGATTGGAGATGTTGGAAATTGATGCCTTTTTGGACAGAGCTTACGTTGGATGAGCAGTGACTGCCAGCTGCTCTCCCAGCTAAGCCTTTCTTCAGATGAATACCAAAGTTATACTGATGCCATTTCAAACTGCACAAGAAACAGAACTACGTAAGGGATGTGCAATCTATATTTCCCCGGCCAATCTGTTCCTGGCCTCTTCCACCATAGGATGTGAAGGTTATACTGTTTTCAGCCATGTGCTGGAGATTCTCTGTAACAACTGCTCAGCAGCAAACTGGAACTACTTTGAGCCAAAGGAGTGACTTCCTGCACTGTCCTATGTATTGTCAATGTTACTGCTAAGGCTGTTACTTAACTGAATGCTGGCTGTGGCACGTGGGATCTGAAGTAAAGGAGCATCAAGGTACAGAACCCTTTCTCTACCGGTGTCATTCCTGCCTGATCCTCAATGCAGCGAACGTGTTTTTTCTGTTTTCTCTCAAATCACAGTCTCATAGAAGCATCTCCGGACTGAAGAAAATCATTGTAAGCCGAGTTGCCAACAAACACGATAGAAACACTTTATCCTGTTGCCAACCTGGCACTTTTGGCTTTGCTCTAGGGCAAAAGCCCTCATGAAAACAAACCCCTGTACCACGTCACAGGTGCAAGCCGCTCTGCTCCACGGCCTGTCTCCAAAACGACTTCAAGCAGAGCCTTGCTGTGCACCGTGGCGCATTCCCGGAGGTGAGCGGCTCCAGAGAGGAGCCTTCAGCACCGGAGCGAGGGGAAACCCCGCGTCCCGGAGCCTCAGTTCCGAGCGGCGACGGCGACCGAGGGAGCCTCGAGCCCTCTCCAGGCCTTGCCCGGGAGCCGCAGCTCCGCTGAGGCGAGCAGGGACTCACAGGGGGCGCGGGAGCGGCGCGTGGCGCGGCGGTTGGCGTCGGCAGCGCGAGCGGGCAGCGGGAGGGATGGGGAGCGCTCGCCTCAGGGCCAGGGCCCGCTCTGGGAGCTCTGCTCCGGCTGCCCCCGCGGTGGCGGCGTCGGCACCAGACAGAGCCGATGAGAGGGGGGGCTGCAGCGCGGAGCTCGGGGTGCAGAGAGCGCCTGCACCGGAGTCGTGAGCAGAGGGTGCGCCATGGGCAGGGCTGCACTCGGTGCCCTGGTGGAGGCCCTCCTGCAGCAGGGGTTAAGCTGCGGGACGCTGGCGGTAGCTGAAAGGTGTCAGGGAAGCTGAGAGAGCTGGGCTGCTTGCTCCAGGCCTGAGCTGAACAGGGGCCACAGGCGTCCAGCACAGAGCATACAGAAAAGGAGGAGGGCGGTAATACAGAGAGCTGGCAGCTAGTTACAAAAAAACAGCAAAAAAAGGAGGAAGAGGTGATCATCTGCTGTAATCAGTGCTGGTGCCGGCTCACCTTGAGTACTGGGTGCAGTTGTAGGTCCCACCGATTAAGAATATGAAGGCCCTTGAATGCAACCAGGAGGGCAACAAAGCTGGTGACAGGGCTGGAAGGCGTGTCCTGTGGGGAGCGGTTGAGGACACTGGGATTGCCTGGTCTGGAGAAAAGGAGGCTGAGGGGAGACCTCATTGCTCTCTACAGCTCTTCCCAAGGAGGGGAAATGGAGAGGGAGGTGCTGATCTGCTTGGGATCCACTGATAGGATGTGTGGGAATGGTTCAGAGCTGTGCCCAGGGTGATTTAGAGTAGACATTAGGAAGTCAAGGGGTTTTCAGCACTTTCAAAGACACAAATAGAGGTTACAGGTGGAAAGAGTATTTTATTTATTTATAAATAAAGTTATTTTATTTTATCTTTTATCTTTAGTCTAGTTTAGTTTAGATTATATTTTCTTTTTCTAAATCCCTCAGAGCTGGTGCTCACAAGCGTTAACACGATGCACATGCGTAGCCAGCAGCAGGCTGATGCATCCTTCAGGTTAGCTGGAAAAGAACATCCTTTGCAGCCTGACAAAGGAAAGCCGGGGCAGGAGCGGTGCCGTGGTGGTGCGAGAGGAGCGCAAGAACCTGGCCAGAAAGGGCCAGGGAAGACCTGAGCAGGGGTGGTGCTCAGTGCTACAGAGGACAGCAGCAAGTCCCGGGGCCATGCTGGGGCCACCCTGGGAGAGCTGAACGCTGCCTCCCCAAGGATGGGGGGCACGAGGGTCACCTGCGTGGAGCACGAGCAGCTGCCTTTGGGACACAATATCCCAAAGGAGCCCCATGAAGGGGCTGTGCTCGGCTGCGGAGGAGGCAAAAAACCCCGGGGACCCTTGCTAGTCCACCCTGGGGGCAAAAAAGCCTTCCCCCCGCCCCCCCCCCCCCCCCCCAGCTGCAGGACACGAGTGGCCACCTTTGTGGTGCATGAGCACCAGGCGATAACCCAGAGCACCAGGAACAGAGGAGACCTGACAAGTGGTCATGCTCAGTGCTCAGAGGAAGGCAAAAAACCCCCGGGGACCGGTGCCAATCTGCCCCGGGGGAAAATTCCTTCCTGACCCCAGCACTGGCGATCGGCTACTCCCTGAGCATGTGAGCAAGACCGGCTCCTGGTCCACGGGCTGGTTATGCCTCTAAGGGGACACTGGCTCTGCCTTTTCTGCCTCCGCCTGGAGCCATCTGAGGGGCTCCCGAGAGCAGCAAAATGCCGCTGGCCTGATCAGCCCTGGGGTTGAATCCTTCCTGTGCCTGACAGTTGGAGCTCCAAAGCACTGGGGGAGGGCACTGGGCCATCTGTGGATCCTATTTCTCATGGCTACTGCCACTACCTCCCCAGAAAATGAGGGCAGCGAGCTCCTCAAAGACTGAAGCAGGATTTCCATCCATCAGATGAGCTGTGAGCCTGGCCCCTCCAGGAGCTGGAACTGCAGCAGAGAGCCTCCCGCAGCTTCGGGCAGTCTTCCCCCCTCTGCCCCTCCAAGTAATTCCACCAGTGCCTCAAGGACTTCCTCTTGGGTGCCTTCAGGCTGCCAGCTCTGTCCTGGTGGCAAAGCCAGGCACTCTGGCAGTGGGACACGGGAGGACATTGCCTTATACTGCCCCGGAGCATTGTGATGCTGCGTTGCTGGGTGCTGGCACTATGACACAGGGGAGATAGGGCCCCCACAGCCTTGCCCACTGCAGCCCTGCTGCTGCCCCTTCGCCCAGCATCACTTGGAGAAAGGCCTTTGGGTGCTGGCCTGAGGCAGTGCCTGTGCTCAGGATGCCCAGGGGGATGTCCCTGCCCATGGCAGCTGCACACTGGGCAT